CCAGCGGGTGAGGCGGGGCCGGGCCGGGGCCTGGCCCGGCCCGGCCCTTGCCAAGGCGGCGGCCGGGCTAGGCCCGCCCCTCCCTCCCTGTGTTCACGGGGTGCCGCGGGCCGGGCTCGGCCGCAGCTTGGGCGCTCTGGGGAGCGTGAGTGTCTGGGGAGGCCGTCTCCCGCCGGTGTGGTGCGCGGTTGCCGGGAGGGTACCGGGGTCTTAATACCGGTTGGCACCTCACTGGAAACTATGGAGTTCTTGCGCGTTCTGCTCTGTTCTCCCTGGAACAGGCCTGGGGCAGCCTTCTCTCAGAGTCCTGCGCACCGCCTGGACTCTGCTAATTAAAAGTATCAGTTAATTCGTGCCCTTGTTAGAGGATTTGTGGAATTAAATGCACAAACTCGATGCTTGTGAGCGCTTGGCCCACAGCAGGGCTCTGCCCACCCCGTGAAGGGAGCTGTGCGAGAGCAGTGTTAGAACACAGAACCCCACAGCATTAAAAAAAAAATACTTTTTGTGGAGAGCTGTCTTGCCAAGAGGCAAGCACTGGGAAATTTAGTGATGGAAGAGTTGGAATTTTGATTTTTATGGCCGAACGTGTAATTTATAATATTCCTTGCAACTAGTGAAATTGTAAGGCTTCTTTCAAATACAAGAAAAACATAACTGAAATGTAGTTGTACTCTTGAGGGTGCTCTCATTGTTTAGATTGTGTTAGAAAACTGTCTCAGGCCAAGCTAAACAAGGTAAGCTTACACCTGGAGGGTGTTTGCAGACAATGACCTCACTGTGGTAATGCAGCTTCAGCGCCTATTGCCTGAGGCCACGCATCTGGGGAAAATGCTGAACGTGGAACAAATTTAAATGGCTCTCCTCTCATTGTGTTGATACTTTAAGGTGGGTTTTTTGGTGGGTTTTATTGTTTGTTTGTTTAAGCCAATTTTGAACATCTATTATAGAGGAAAATGATCAGGTTTATGCAAACTTAAAGTGTTCTGTTTGTTTTGGTTTTTTTACCCCCTGCATTTTTTCACTAGAAAGAAACTGCAATGGAGAGTACAATATCGGTCACTTTCCTTGTATCGTTTTTCATACTACTATGTGAAAGTTACCATCATGGAGTGGAGACAGCTACTGTTGCACATACATTAGAGAGAACTTTTCCAAAAAAGGCACCTGGCGTTAACATTGACTTGGCAGGATTAATACAGAAGTTTCACCTTCAAGAACTTTTTCATCGTTATGGAGAAAACAATTCTCTGTCAATGGAAGGGTTTAGAAAGCTACTCCAGAACATAGGCATAGATAAAATGAAGCTAATTAAAATAGACCATGATCATGCCCATGATCATGACCACGATCACCACCCTCATCACAATCATGTTTCGTTGAGTAAGAGCTCCGAGAAGACTGTTTGTCCAAACCATGAATCTGATGCTAACAAAGACCACAGGAACAGTCACTCAAAGGAACCTCATAAAGTAGAGAATGTAGAACGACAGCAGAACTTTGTCCGCAGCAAGAACACTGTTAATCAAATAACCACGTCTGTCGTCACCGGTTCTGCAGGTGGCCGCTCCGAATTACAGAATATGCAACGTGGAGAAGCCAAGCCAGTTGGTCGTTTAGTTCTGACCAGCCCTAATGCTGTTAATGCCACAGGTGGCAGCAATGCAAGCTGGCTTGCTAACAGCAAAGCAAATGAATCTCATACTTCTCCAAAGGAATTGGAAAGAGGAAGTTACCTGTATTCTAAACTGAAAAACCAAAATACCCGTGAGGTGAGACTGATTCTGTTGTATTCTTGGGAGTCCAGATCCACCAGGAATGTTGTTATGGCTTATTTGTCAGGTTCTTCTCATTTAACTGGGTACAAGCTTTGTGGTGTAACAGTACTCATAGCAAAACACACACAAACAACTTTCCTTGAAAGGTAACATGTTGAAGGAGTGTTGTATTATGTTCACAAGCTCCGAGGGAAATATATATGCAATCTAGTTAACTTTCCTTTTTGGGAGAAAATTAAAAAATAATGTGTACTTTCATTAAGAATAAGCATACACTTGGTTTTATGTATTTATTAATTGTATGTTATTTTTAAATATTAGGAAAAATGAAAGCCACTTCAAATTAAAAACTTGCTGTTCTCCCTGAAAGCCAGAATCTGTCTTGTTTTCCTAGTAGTGTGGTGAAAGTAAATAAAAGTCCAGTTAAAAAACTGTATTCAAAGCTGCCTGACAAGCGTTCAATAATTCTATAGCAGGTAGAACTACAGTGAAATACCTGACACCTTCTTTCTTCAACCCATCCCCATCTTCTTTAAGATTGTATGTGAGGACCAACTGTAAAAAAGATTGCTGCAAAATATTATCTATTACTTTATACTAGTAAAAATTAGTGCTGATGAAGTTTATAGTTGTGTTGTAGACAGTTTTCTTGCCCAATCAGGCCCTTCTCCATTAAAGGAGACGCAAGTGTCTCTCTGAGGGTCTTAAAATATGCAGCCACACCAGGTACTTCAGGGTGGGTGCTGTGTGGTGTGTGGTTGTGGGTGCTGAATTCACAAGTTGTTACTGTGTTCTGCACAGTCGGAGCAGAAGTCCTACTGTTATTTAAACCCAGCAGGACTGTAGGTCATGCAGTGGGGAACTCTTTACTGGAGGAAGTGTATGCAGAACACATTCTGTACAAGGCTTTCCATAGTAATCACTTCTATAAAAAGATATTTAACTTTGTTCCTGCTTCCTTATATGGCCTTTAAAACTGAGTGCTTCTAAAACTTAGCACAGCAAAGCCTCTGACTTCCTTGTGCTAAGAATGAGTGTTAATTATGCATCATCTACTAGGACTCCCAAGCTGGCTTTCTGGGCCAGAAGCAGGATGGAGGTACAGTTCTTACTTAATTGGTTTGTTACTAGTTTTCTGATTACTGTTGATATAGCTGTTTTCATGTGGCACCGCTGCATCTCAATTAAAATGAGGTTTGCAGTCCTCTTGAGGATCTATCATGTTATTTTGGTTGTGATTAATCTTTAACACATGTGTCTTTCCACAGTGCTCCAGTGCGTCAAAACTGATGCAGTCCCATGGAATAGACACTCAGGTATTGTTGACTGCTACAGAATTTAGTTACCTCTGTCCAGCTCTTATTAATCAGATTGATGGCAAATACTGCATAGTCCATGCAACCAGTGAAAAAGCTGAAACTCCTCCAAAAGGTTACTCTCTGCAAATAGGTAGGTTGGTTTTCTAACATGGAATAAAAGCTTACTGGAACCCCATTTATGTTGGCTATAATATAATAATTATTATTATATAATATGTTTGAGAAACGTTGATATGTTTCAAAGCTGAAAGAAGTTTATAGTTTTCTTTTGGCACTTGACCAGGTCTAGAGAGAAATCTTTGTGGCATACTAAATGTTAACATCCAATTAATCAAAAGAGCAGGAGTGTTTGACAACAGGAATGTTAAGCAAACAAAATCTCACACAGCTGTTATTTATTCTTGTTACTTTTTTTTTTTTTTTTTTTTTTTTTTTTTTTCTTTCTTTTGTTTGGGGTTTTTTTTCTCGCAGAATAAACCCAATTATTCCATTCAAAGCAGAAGGGAATCCAAAATGTACCACCTCAGATTAAGTGCAAACACTAGACCTTTGTTCCCTCCTTTTTGCACTGTTTTGCATTTTGCTTTCACTGGCTGGTATCTTCGGGAGGGAATTTTATTGTTCCTTTCACCGTATGCTAATTTCTATTCTTCCGTAGTCTTGTTGTGGTGTCTTTAGCTGCTACCCCGCTTTTTTTTTTTTTTTTTTTTTTTTTTTTTTTTTTTTTTTTTTTTTTTGCCAGCTTGGATTGGTGGCTTTATATCCATCTCCATCATTAGTTTTCTTTCCTTACTGGGAGTTATATTGGTACCACTGATGAATCGCGTATTCTTCAAATTTCTCCTGAGTTTTCTTGTGGCATTGGCTGTGGGGACTTTGAGTGGAGATGCTTTCTTACATCTCCTTCCACATGTAAGTATTAATTACTGTTTCGTTTATTATCTCAAAGCAGAGAATTTGACATCTCTCTGTACATCTTAGTGATAATTTTAACCCCTATTAATTAATACCTATTTGATGAGTCATTTCTCAACCTTGTAAGGTAGATTATTTGATGGAAAGTTTTTTCATTTGGAACTGCTTCTATTATTCATTTCACAGTCCTTACAGTGTAAAAACTTAACATCATTAACTCTCATCTATTTCTTCTTCTTAGTCATATATATTGCTAAATCACTCATTGTTCCTTGCATGTAAGAATTTTGGATAAATGTTTTTAGTCACTTCTTTGCAATGCTGCCTTGTTATTTTATTTTTCCATTTTAATTAACTTTATAGTTGGCAGAACTTGCTCACTGTACACATTAAATATGGAATAAATGATCCAATATTTTCTGTTATCGGCCACTTAATGTTGATTGCTTATCCATCATAATTTTTTGATCAGAATCGAGCATTTCTGAAGTCCTGTGAAAACATTAGGATAGACTTTGGAGTTGCACATTGTTTTTATGTATGGACAATGAAATTGGAATATGATTATTAAATTTCTACCTTTCTTAAAGCTCTTAAGCAGGCATTCCCACCTGAAATCTTATGCTGAACACATCAATAGCCAGTGAGGAGGGGAAGAATATCAGACTTCCTTTAAAGAAGGAAATTGCTGCAAAGTTTCCTGTAGAAAAAGGTGTATGAAGTCTGTGGGCTTAGATGGGAAAGTAACTGATGTGCTGGCTGTGGCTACTACTTAAAACACAGTTTCCTTGATGCCATCAGGAGTTTTTATGGGGCCCGTTGTACATCTTGTATTGAGCAGCGTGCACATAACTGCGGTGAGGAGATGAATGCCGCGTCTACTCTCGGTCCTTGCAATGTTTCTTCCTATCAACAGATTTCTTCGTAATTTTTTGAGTTTGTATCCAGAGCATTTACCCCATGAAAGTTGCTAAGTCTGGACTCCAGATGTGAGGAAAAGAGTGTGAAGAATACTTTCTATGTTTCTTATGTTATCAGTTCTTCCGAATATAATGACTTTCCCCATTTGGTTCTCCCCTTAGTCTCATGGAAACCATCACCATCACCACGAAAAACCTCTGCTTGAACAAAATAAAGGTGCTATGTACAAACATCTTGTTTTTCGAAGTACAGAGGAGAGTGCTTACCTGGATTCTACATGGAAGGGGCTTACAGCACTTGGGGGCTTGTATTTCATGTTTCTGGTGGAGCATTTGATCACTTTAATAAAGCAGTTTAAGGACAAGAAGAAAAAGGTAGAGAAACTATTATTTTGAAGCTATATTGTATTGCATGATCATTTCTGAATACGCTTATGATACTCAAAAGAGTTTTTTATATCTATCGGGATTTAATAGTGATTGCTGACTCGATTAGTGTTATAATTTCACTTATATTAGTGATCCGTATACTTTTAAACTACATGATAACTTTTTTTCTGTGGTCCTGTTACGGAGGAGCTCTGAGTTATTTCCTTAACCAGACATATTGTACAGGCTTGACACCACAGTCAATTGTTTAATAAGCAAACATCCAGTTGCACCCTTTGTTTTAACAGTGATTTAAGAAGGTATGGTTCATTATTGGCTTCTGACATCTCAAGGCGATTATATAACTGACTATCTGAACTGGTTTTATTGTTATTTTAATTCTTATACTGGATGAAATAAAATGGCCTCGTGCAGTTATTGTACCCCTGTTGAGGGGGGGCATTTGCACAAAATGGGTAACGGTGGCAGTAAGTGCTTACATAACTAAGCATACACTGTAGAAAGTGACTTCATTAGATAGTGTGCCATTTGGAAGTACAGTCCGCCAACCCCTCTCTTCTTTCCCTCCTTTCCCCCCTAAAAAGAAGAGCAATACAGCTTTCACATTACTGTGCTGGTTTTAATGTGGAAGGTAAATGGTAGCTGAATATGGCAGGTCATAAATGTTGGTAACTGAGTTCTTTAAAGACTACTGTAGCCAGAAATAAACAATGATGTAGAAGCTGACTCGGTAAAAAAGATATGTTAAAAGCTGGAAATATCTTAAGCTTTGCTTGAAGAAAGTTTGTAAGCTACTAATTAGCTCAAAAATAGCTGATTTCTAGGCTACCACAATGATTGGCAGTCTCTGTTTAGTTTTATTGTTAAATTGGTAATTAAGGCAGCAGTCTTAGAGCAGATGCCGTGTAAGCTCTTTGACTTTGGTCACAAGAGGTGGTGGTGGTGGGGTTTATACTGAAGCTGAACTAACTGTGAGCTACAGGATGCTTTCCGTATCTCTAGTTAAATTTATTTGCCAAGAGAGGACAATTAAGAGTTCCAAGCAAAGCAAGCTTTTTGTGTCCTCCTCTCAGCCACTGGGAATAGATTTCCTGTTAGACTAATTGTGCCCTTCTAGATACTGAGTCTCTGATCATAAATTGTTGTGATATAGATGTTAATTAGTGAGCAATGATTGGAGAGATTATATGGTTTTCCTTGAGTTCACTAGAAAAAAACGTTATACTGACATTACAGTGGAAAAGAATTAGTGGAATAACTTTTAGTCAGTATTTGTGTTTCTTTTCCCAGAGGAACCCCTCTGCTTATTCCTCATGCAAAAATGTGGGGTGTTCATGTGTGAGGGTTTGTTTGGGTTTGGTTTTTTGGTTTTTTTTTCCTTCATACAGAGCCCGAGGAACCTTTATTCTCTTACTGTACTTAGCTGAGTTCCTAATGTTCCTCTTCTGCGCTCTTTATGGCTCCCATGTTGTCCTCTTTCTGTGCAGGCTACATAAATGTTGTGAATATAATGTTGCTCATGTATATCCTGAAAAAAAATTAGTAAAATATTCATAACTGCAGTATTTTCTTTTGGAATAAGAAAAAAAATGAAGATGATGGAGAAAGTAAGAAGTTTTCAGCGAATGAAGAGAAATTAGACACAGATGATCGTAAGTCTGAGTAATATTGCAGAGTTGCTTTTTTGTGGCAACACAGTTTAAAAAAAACACCTGATTGATGGTAGCTCATAGATCTGCTTCTTACTGCAGATTGAATCACTACCTACTTGAATTATTTTCAAAACAAAACCTGTCTGTGCATTGATATGTAGAGGACTAGCTCTATTTGCTGCTTTCCTTTAAAAAGAATCAGTAGGATGGAAGTAGTGAACTCAGTTTTGAAACCTTAAGCCTTTTAATTCTTGACTTAGCAGCAGAAGTTGAAGTCATTCTGTGAAGCTTTTCTGACTGTGCCTGTTGCAAATACAGCTGTACCTGCTGGCTTTTATACTGGCACTCCTCTTTAGAATGTTAGATGTTATACGAGTGGTCCATTATTTAGACTTCTGTGTATTTTAGGTCTGGATTTTGTTAGTTTGAGTATTTATTTATAATCTAAAATCCTAGAGGTTAGTTGAGGTATGTGGATTGCAAATGATCACGTGGTCATGCTAAGTCAAAACACACCACACTAGAGGTGAAACTCTTGTAGCTAAAAGAGGCATTCAGTTTCTCAGAATAATTTTATAATTCATGGGAGAGTTGTCAGTAATGGAGAAAAAAAATAACTGTATTTGTTCACTTAATTGCAGGGAAAGAATTTAGCAAGTGTTAAGAGTTAAAATAACTAATGGTAGTGTGGCACTTATATTTGTATGAGGATGTTTCATGGTCTGTGATGACTGTACTTTTAAGTGTTTATTTTTCAGTTGTTTGAACTTAAGCTCCTGTATTTATATGAAATATGAGTTTCCACAATTATCTATAATGTAATCCTCTTCTGCATTCTTAATCTTCAGCCTTAGGATGACTAAATGGTATATGCTTTCCAGACACTTTAGCTTTCTGAAGCAAAGGAAAGAACAGCATTCATGCTGTGAAACTGGGATGTGGAGCCTTACGCTCTTGTGTTTAAATTGCACTGGGTCTTCAATTAAAAACTTTTTTACTTTTTAGGAGGCATTTGTGGCCATAATGTAAGGGCTGCTTCAATTGTAAGTGACAGAAACTGAAAGTTTTTCCGATTTTCAAATATTGGGAATTATCTCAGAAATCTGATTAAAGAAAAAAGTTGTGGAAACTCTTGGAGAAAAAAACTTTCCGGTACAAGAAGTTGGGGTATCAGTCTCAACTTCTAGAAACTTATTTGTTTCTTTGCTGCATCACTTATTTAACTTGTTCACTGTATTTTTCCTTCCTATGTGATTTTAAAAATATGTAATATTACACTCTGGGTTTTTGTAACAGGGCCTGAAGGCTACCTAGGGTCAGACTCTCAAGATCCATCGCCATTCATTTCTCAGCAGCCAGCTGTGCAAGAAGAAGAAGAAGTGATGATAGCTCATTCTCATCAAGAGGAGGTTGACAATGAATATGTTTCCAGGGGCTGTAGAAACAAATGTCATTCTCACTTGCATGATACTCTAGGACAGACAGATTATCTTAGTCATCATCACCATGACTACCATCATATTCTGCATCACCATCATCATCAGAACCATCATCCCCACAGTCACAGTCAACGCTACTCGCGTGAAGAACTGAAGGATGCAGGGATAGCAACTCTGGCATGGATGGTGATTATGGGAGATGGACTACACAATTTTAGTGATGGCCTAGCAATTGGTAAGTGTTAATTTGGACTGCAGCTTTGTTATATGTGAGGACAGCAAAGTCTTGCTGTCACTTGTCTCTCTAGTTCTTATCTTACATATCTCTTTAGTAGGAACATAACTAATTAGTGGTGGATCTTTGAAGCCTAAACTTTTCTCTGGTAGCAGTTCTGAATGAATGAGAAAAGTCTCCAGTTTAACAACCTGGACACATGAACCAGAAATTATGTGTTTACAGATAAGTTTCTTTAGGAAATTTATAGACTTTGCTTATTTTTCTACTTTTAACAAAGTTAAAGCTAACATTTTTCAAAACTGAAGCTAGGCTTATAAAACAATATTTAGGGCTTAGAGCTGAATTTTTATTTCTGTGCTTGCAAGTGCTCAGGAATACTTTTTTTTTTTTTTAAGGTAAGCTTGTAATTTTGGTCACATACAAAGTAACTGCTTTTTTTCACTCTGGTCAGGCCAATAGTATCATTGGCTTCTTTATTACTTTTTCTCTCCACCTTCACTTGTTATGTAGCAGGGTCAGGTTCTATACCTTGCACATCTGGCTTTGCCATACTGGGCCCTAGTTACACATCATGTATAAGTTTCCCCAGAGCATTGCTGAGTAGGAAGATGGGACTCTGGTTTCAGAGCCTGAAGATTACACAAATGGATTGGACAAATATATATGTGTGATTTTTGTGCTGTGGGAAGTAGGCATGCATTCATTTTTACTGTAAAATGAATTTGGTCCAAGGCATTGTGTTCTCTAAGGTGCTTTTACAGTTTTGCATCGCAGTCCTGTCACATCCAGATTCTCAGATCTTACCACCCACTGAAGAGCAGCATTCCAGTTCTTCCTGGTGCTTGTACTAACCTTCCAGAGAAGGTCTGTGCTGCTTTTTGTATCCTAGGAATGTGTGACTAGGGCATTAATTAGTAGGACATTAGTTATTATCTCTCAGAAATATGATTCATGGAGAAGATATCAATAAAGTCACTATATGTTGTCTTTATTCAGATTTTTGGATTAAGAGTGTCTATATCAATTAAAAGAAGGATAGTGTAGGTAGATTTCTTCAGATGCGTAGTGTGCTGTACTCAGTCTCAAAACAGGCTCAGTATCTCTTCTTGGAAAAGCATTTAAAAAAAACGAAGTTTCTTAAGCACTGGTCATACTCTACTCAAAATGTGTTTGCTTTTTTTTTTTTTAAATTTAAACCAGTATGAACAGTTACTTTACACGTAATCACAACACTTACCTTTTTGTTCATGTCTCTATTTTTCCCTTACATTTTGTAGTTGTTCAGTCTTTTTTGACAATGCTTCAGTGACTTTTTTTTTATCAAAAAAATAACAGATTGATATTATATTTTGGACTTCTGGCTGGGAGGTCAGGTTTGTGAACTCCCTTGTGGTTTCTAGAAGGAGAGCTAGACTACAGGTATCTTAAATTTAAAAGGTTTAAGTTATAAAAAGTGAAGTCAATTCAGTAATCCTCAGTTTTTATGCCAGTCCTTCATAATCTTGACTTTAGTATTTAAGACTAATCTTTACAGGTATTGGATTCATTTCCAGCTTGTATAGCATACTGGGGTCAGTTCAGCAGTATCAGTCTTTCTCTAAATTTCATTGTAGAAACAAGTTCATTCTTGTTTGAGGAGAAAACCCAATAATAACTATTTTCTCACAGTGGTACTTAAAGCTGTTCAGATTCAGTCAATTCAAAGTATAATGTGAAAAGAGATCTTCTGATTTAATCTCATTTTTGATGACAGTTGAAGCATGGAATGTAAATTTCCGAGCAAGATCAGTAGTGAAAATGTGGTAGAAGGAGGAGGATTTGCATACAAATGACATGCAGAATCAATTACCTCTTAGCATTAGAGAGATTTGGGAAGGAGCTATGACTTTATAGTTATGAAGGGAAAAGTATGAGGAAGGCTAATAAAGGCTTATTGAACAAGTGAGAGCAATAGCCCTTAGAAGTCCTGCTGTGTAGCTTGTTCAGGCTAATGGAAATGTGGGTTTCCTTCAGCTCTGGATGTGCTCAAAAGTATCATAGAAAGACATTGATTTGATGATGATGTGGAAATGCCAATAGTACTTGTACCTTACCTGTAAATGAAGTTGTGAATGCTTCTGTGAAAATAGCTTTAGCCATGGTAACCCTTCACTTAAGTTCATTTCATGTGACTTGTTATTCTTAATTTTCCTCAAATCTGTTGTGCTAGTTATATAGGAGTAACATTTAAAACTGCTTATTTTTTTATTAAAGCATGGAACAGTTGCAGCTAATTTGTACAAAATGATCTTTTGTGATTTGAACTTTTCTATTTATCTTCAACTAAATAACTGAAGTGCAGAACATGATTTTTCCACTAATCTTGTATATATTTTTTTCTTAAGATATCACTTCTCAAAAAAGAGCTAAAAAGTATGTTTTTATGACACTATTTAATAAACTTCTTGAAAGGGGATAATACTAGATATATTAGTGTGATCTTCAGGTTTTTTAATGCTTCAAGACATCTTTTTAGCAGTGAAAAATAAAAGTAGATATTCCTGTTATTTAAGCCTGTACTTTGGCTGCTGTTTATCTATACATTATACAGCCATATCGGCGACCCAGGTACTTGGTACAAGGCTTAACCTTTGTGGTCGAAGGAAATTAGATTTACCATGTGTGATTAAGCTGGATTCTTGTATTTTTGGTTTCCCTCTAAGTGATAAGACTGGGAAAACATTGTATGAGAGAGCAATACAGAGGAACGTGTAGATTATTGAGGATGCAGGCATGAGAGAAGGTAATTACCTTCTGCCTTCCTCTATTTATCTCGTCTCCTCGGAAACTGAAGCCCCATTGAATGCTGATGAATTCTCCTGTCTTAGGAGATGACAGTAGCTATCCTGTCTGTCTCTCAAAATCTGACTCCAAAACTATAAAGCAGTGTTTAGAGGTGGGGGAAGCAGACCAATACCTAGAAAAGACTGATAGTATTCACTAATAACCTCTTTTCCTAGTCAAGTAGCAGTAAATCCTCTGATTTAACTCTTAATTACTGTGTAGACTCCTTGACTGCGTGCTTTGGAGTGAAAACCACTCCCCCTGAGGGCTTAGGACAAAATAGCTTTTTTTATTGCATGCTGCGCATCTGGAATTGGACTTCACAAATAGTCAGAAATGGGTGACTTCTAGAGGTCCTCTAGCTTGAACCCTCTGCTTGAAGCAGCTCTTGGGAACACTAGATTGGATCAGTTGTGGCTTTGCATAGCCAAGCCTTGGAAACCTCCACAGATGGGGAGACTACACTGTGTCTGTGGCTCACCTCTTCTAGTGTTGCACTACTGTCTCTTAATAAGGAAAGTTTTATTTTATGTCCAGTCTGAAGCTCCCTAGTTGTGACTTGCAGCCTCTCCCCCTGGTGTGTCATCTGTCACTTCTGATTTTGATACTTATGAATCATAAACAGCTATTCAGGTGAAGTGTAAATGCTTCCAGAAGTATAAGAAAAAAATTGAGTGAAACTAACGTGGCCTAGTCTGGTACAAGCATATGTAACAATGCTTCTGCCCTTGATGTCTGAATATCCAGTAATGTTGTTTTTTGTTTTTGTGTGGTTTTTTTCCTGTCTCTTCATAGGAGCAGCCTTTACTGAGGGGTTATCCAGTGGTTTAAGCACTTCTGTGGCTGTATTTTGCCATGAATTACCTCATGAGCTAGGTAAGACCCCAATATTTCCATATGCTGCAGATATAGGTACTTACAGGTGCACTTTGAAGAATTACCAGTGATTTTATTCTGTGGCACAATAAAATTTGGTCGGAAAACTTTATCTGTGTCACATTGTCTACTCAATAATTAACTTTTTAAAAGATCATTTTATTTATTAATCTTCCTTTTAAGAATCCAAATATTTCAGCTACTTTGTTTAAAATTCAATATCTTGCCAGTTACTTACACCTTGTTCTGTATAGTTCAGTTGTAGTTTCTATTCTCCTTAGCAACATAAATTGTGAATTGCAGGAGAATGCATGTCAATTTGCTCTTCTCGCGTCTCTGTTTAATTTTATTCTTGTGTTAGTGCTGTTAAAAGGAAGGTCACGATTAGACAAACTCTTCTCTGCATAACATTTGCTCCTTTTTCATTAAGTCTTGCAAAGAACTGCTGTAGCTCTAAATTAAACGTGGAACTACTTAAAAATTGTTCCTAGAAATTGTTTGCCTTCCAAATTCAAGTGATTTAAATTCATTACAATAATTTCTCATGGAAATGCATGTGTCTTACACTGTAGTAGTGTTCAGCCCTTTCTCAAGGCAGCTTATGAGAACAGGACGTAGCTGCTCAGTTTAACTTGGAATGAAGCTCATCTTTCCAATTGTCGAATCATTTTGAATGTGTGGCTGGTATTTCTTTCTTAGCTGTCATGGCCACAGTCATACCTGGTGTATAGAATGAGGGAAGAGCAACTTGCTTGCACTTTTTAAGGTTTAATTCCCTGAAAGTAGAATATTCAATTTCATTTAATGGAGCTTGTAAACCAGTATGTGTATACATCGAACTGTTTATTAAATGGTTTGATATATTTGTCTGGCTGTGCAAACATGTTATACAGAAATACATTACTCTGGAGAAAACATACCTGGTTTTATGAGATGGGAGGAATTGGGTCTTATTCATCTTAATATAAATTCCATGGAAATAATCAAACTTCTATTAATTACATGTACTAAGTGTTGTTAGTACAAGTATGCAAAATTCATTTTATGAATCTGATAATTTTAGATTCAAATGTTCTGTTGGTTTGGGAAGCAAGAAAAATACTTTAAAATTTTAATCTTTTTTTACTTATCACAGAAAGCTTGATAGAAATACTTTAACAGAGGTATGGAGTGGCATAGGAATACTGAAACAAATGGTTCTAGCTGAAATTAGCTGGGGATAAAATTGGATCATTCTGTTGTTAATGCTCAACAATATTTATAACATACCAGCTCATCTTAATTGCAATATCTTGTGGGAAAAGCTGTTGTAACAAATTACTCAACTCAGCTTTGAAGATTGCTTTTGTTTACTTTAACTGGAGATAACCTACGTTTTTATACAGAATCCATTTTATTTCCAAATAATAAGCCTATATTATTTTACTCTGTTTTAGATCTAATTTATCTAAACAACAACAACAAAAAATCTATTCTGAATGATGGAAAAACCTGTTTCTGACTGGTAGTCTATCATTCCTCCAAGGGAAAATAAGGTGTTAAGGATCATTTACAAAAATTAACGAAGAATTATTTCTAAATTTAATGAAACAGCTAGACTTAAAGTACAAAGGGCAGATAAAGGATAATAAATGGAATCACCACCATTGCTTTATGCAATTAAGTGGGAATATTTTATTTTAGAAAGTTGTTTAGAATGCTCGTGCATATTGGGTTCTACAGTATTTTACAGTGTTGGTTTACATGCAAACTACACTAAAAGCTGCTTCTTCCAAAAGTCCTAAGGCTTTAGGGTTCATAAACTTACAATGTTTGCTGATGTGTTGTTTCTTCATGTGCGCTTTTTGATTTTCCTTCCCTGGGTGATTTCTGATTTTAGAAAGGAAAAAATAAGGCAGACAACAGCATAAAAATAACTTAGCAATCCTGTAAGTAGGAAGAGAACTCATGAATACTGCCATAAATAGTTACCCGAGGATGAGAACTCTTCTTTTGTTTTTTCCTGGTTGTAGGAGACTTTGCGGTGCTTCTCAAGGCCGGTATGACTGTCAAGCAAGCCGTGCTGTACAACGCCCTGTCCGCCATGCTGGCCTACCTGGGCATGGCCACCGGCATTCTCATCGGTCACTACGCAGATAACGTTTCCATGTGGATATTTGCACTCACTGCTGGCTTGTTCATGTACGTGGCGCTTGTGGATATGGTAAGTGGATAGCCCTACTCGAATTCATAGAACATAACTTAAGAACTAGTGCTAATTGTGTTTTGATCTCAAAATACATTCTTCCGTATTTTCTTCCTCAATAACTTCTTCTGTGCTTGAAGATGCTGATGGGTATGCAGTGTAAGAGCTCAGTTAAATGTTTAGGTGGGATATTGCTTTTATTTAGATTGGTGTCAGAACAGAGATTGTTTCTCCCTTAGTTGTTAAACAGAGGCAGTTAACAGCAGAAGTAGGGTAAAAAATTTGCTTCTGACAGCTATAGTAGATAGCCAATAAGGCCACAAGCTGCACACTCTTGGCACCACCAAATGTACTTCAGCTTTTGCATTAAATCATTACTGCTTCTTGAGATGGAGACAGAATTGTATTTAAACCTATACTGTGCCTCAGGAGAATGTTTGTACAGAAGTACAAAGTAGTGAAAGCTTAACTATCTTAAGAATAAAATTCTTGGTGTGGCTTGATTAAATCAGTTGGTAAATAAGCCAGCAATTTACTCAGGATATGATTAAGACATCAGCATAATTATCATGAAAACAGTAATTAGAACATTACAGATTCTCTCTGTTTCTAAATATGCAAGTAGACTCTGATAATGTTGTTCATGTTGAATGACACCTAATTAATGCAGTCAACAGGAAAGAGCAGAGGAGCAAGACTCTGCTACCTCATGCCTCACAGCTGAAGAACTGAATCTGACGTAACTGTTTATTTTGAAGGCATTTAACACTTTCTTGTTTGTTTAGGTGCCTGAAATGCTCCACAATGATGCCAGTGATCATGGATGTAGCCGGTGGGGATACTTCCTGTTACAGAACGCTGGAATTCTGTTGGGTTTTGGGATAATGCTGCTTATCTCCGTATTTGAACATAAGATTGTATTCAGTATAAACCTCTAATCCTGCTTGCCAGAAAGACAGCTTGGTGTTAAATTTAAGTGGTAGGTTTTTTCTATTAAATTCCCTAGTGGAGAGGTACGTTTGATATAGACTAGATATTTTTATTTGTGTGCTTTATTATGTCCCTCCCTCCCTCCTCCCCTAGTAGGACTAGACACTGTAAGGCTTTTTTTTTTCACTTAGGATTTAGCATTGCATATGGTACTGTGGAAAGTTGTACTTAGTTAAACATGGTGAAAGTGCCAAATCTATTAAAGCAGTATTGTCTAGGGGGCTAGGGGTTTTTTTTGTCGTAAGTTTGTTTACTGTATGTGATTATATGTAACATTTTTTTACTTCAATGGTTTTGTTGGCTTAAAGAAATAAAATGCCAGTGGTTTTTATTTTAGCACAATCAAAATCAGTGGATACCAAGGACAGTGAGCAGCGTAAAACAAGAAAAAGACATGTAAGGCATAGCATATGTTTACATTGGTAGAAACTCATCTCTTCTGCATCCACCTAGTTTACACGGAGTGACAGATGAGTCCACTCCATCCTTTTTGTGGTGGTTCTTCTTTCAGTATCTTGTGGTTTCTTTGTGTCTTATTCCAGTTGGCTTCTACTTCAAACAAATTCTTGTGAGATCCTGTTTTAAGTGTTTGTACCAAATGTTTTACTTGTTTCATCCTTTCTGATATGAGTTGCTCTTCACCAATTTTTCAAATCAGCAACAGAAGTACAGCTATTAGACTGTAAAAGCATAGCTCTAGTTCTAATATACATAAATTCCATCAAAAAGACTTTTAAAGTAGTCCTATAACCCACTTATGCTGCCTGAAATGGCAAAGGTATATTATATCTGTTATCAAGAGGAGGAGTGCTACAGGCTGAGATAAACAGCCACTTACTACAATAATTTCCTTAAGTAAACTGTTGCTTCAGGAAATGAGCTGAGTGGGAGAGCTGACTACTTCTAGTTCAGTGTGATTGCACACAAACCTGTGCAAAACAGTTTTATATTGCAACAGCTAAAGCTCATATCTAAAATAGCAAAATCTCTTTGACAGCATATATAGGGAAGTAGCACATTAAGGATAATCATGAGTCTATACGTAAGTATGTAGTTTGAGCTTACAGTCTTAATATTTTGTAACTGAAGGAAGGAAAAGGATGAAAAAGATAATAGCAAAATAAATAAATTCTCCATTTTAAGGGAAGGTGAACATTAAGCAACTTCTATATAATGAATACATAACAGAATTGTGTTACCTTAACTAGCTAGCTTTTAAAATCCCAGAAATAAACCAATTAGACCTTATTTCTGATTCAACTTTACCACTGCTTCACATCTTCAGCTGAATAAAAAGCTTGAACAAAGAGGAAGTGTTTGAGAATCCCATGTCTGACAGGTTAAAACAATCTGTCAGAAAGCCAAAGCTAGTGTACCACCTCAGAAATAGATGTTTGGAATTAACTGAGGTTTGTTTTAGTTGGAGGTGGTGGTTTTGTTTTGGTGTTTTTTTTATTTATTTACTAGTTAAGAAATGGAGATCACAGGAGTTTCTGCAGCTGGTGTAATATTAGCTTTTCCTCCTCCTTCAGTCTTTCCTCAGGTTAACAAGGTTGAGATTTGATCTTCTTTTCACAAGGTGCACTTCCTTCAGCTCTGCTGATGCATCCTCAGGGAGCACTGAGCTGTGGTGGAGTCTTGCCAGCACCCCCGGATCTGCTTGTATATGAACCTGTATCTCTCTTTGCTTGGTGAGCAGTTGTTTCACGTTTTGCATTTCTTTTGTTCTATGCTATTGCACTTTGAGCATCTGGACTTCTGTTAGAAGCACATCTCTGAACAAAGGGCAGATGCACTCTGCCAGAGGGGTTCTACAGCTTGAGGTGCAGAAGAGTCATGCCATGGCACAACAGCCATCTGCTCAGTTTTCATAGCATCTCCTTGATCATCCTGGGCTTTTTTCACTCTTTCTTATAGCAGTTGTATTCCAGTGTTCCCAAACTTGAATTTCTAGTATCTGTGAATATGATGAAAAATGGATATATATCTGCCTGTTGCTTCTGTATCTCTGAATCAGAGGCGGTAACTTCTACTTCTTTTTTACATTGTCTAAATTCCTATGACATTTCTGCCCTAACCTGCTCTGTGACCATTTCTTGACTTTGTAGCTAAAACTATGGCTAAAACCCAGCTGCTGATCTTCATCTTTCCTTTGCTTGAATACCAGGATCTTTGGCTCATGGAAAGCTGTTCCATTTCTGGTGTGTGCATGTTGCTGCTTCCTTTAGAAAAACAGAAAGTTCAACCCCACCCCAACATGAACACACACACTGAACCTGCCAAAACTGAATTTTTCATGCCCTGACAACTGCTTTTTCCAAGAGCTCCACTCTTAGCAGTCCCACCTCATTCCAGATCTCTCAAAATGTGGCTGCTTTTCCCCAGGAAGTCTGTTCCTGATGTCCTTCCATGCAGCTGAACATGCTGCCCTTTGGAATGGTCTGTCTTGACTCTGTCCTGTTTAAATGAGTCTTGCCTTTGCTGGCGGTAGTGGTGCTGGTTACCACTGGAGCTGATGTGTCTCAGTTCATGCTCCTGGACTGCTCCTCAGGAGCAAGATGCGTTCCTCAGTACAGTTTCACCCCCTCTTCCCTCCAGACCTCTCATCACAGCTCTGTTCTGCTGAAATGCAGTGACTGAGGTGTGACCTCGCTGCATCCAGTGGGTTTTGTAGGTCTTGGGCACTGTGTTTACCAGGGGTCTAGTAAACCACCATAAAATCCATGGGTTTAGCCTGTGGGTCTTTCACCTTCTGTCCCCCACCCTCAGCCCTTATGGATGTTGGGCATGGTCCATCTCTTTGGTCATCAGGGCCTTCAGACTTGGATGGGTCCCACGTCCTTTCACTTTGAGTTTTTTTACTAGTGGTTTGTGTTAGGCCACAGCCTTCAGAGCTGCTTGTTCAGCTGGGCTTTCCTTGTCCCGTGGGTGGCTGTGAAACATGAAGCAGGCATGTTCTCAAAGAGATTTTTAAGATCTATGGCTAAGTAATGGAGATAAATATATGAGTTTCAGCCAGTTCTTGGTTGGCTTTTGATCTAATCAACTGACATTAAAATATCTGCCTATCAAAACTAGCACTAGAACATCTGCATATCAAAACACATTGCTAAGGTAACAGCCTGAAAAATAAATTGCCTTCAGAGCATGTGGGCAGAAATGGCTCGATAAGCTACACCAGCATATCCTGCCCATGTCCATGACAGGCAGCTGTCCAGACTAGTCACTAGGAAGACTCTAGAGTGAAACCTGCTGTACCTTTGTACCAGCAAGTTGACAAAAGTTTTTTTTTTGTGGGTTTTGTTTGGGTTTTGTGGGGGTTTTTCAATTTGTCAGCCTTACAAAGTAGAATCTGTATCTGTTGCAATGTGCTTGCGTTGAAAGCCCTCCTGGTTGGGCAAACTGATGGGGCAGAGCCTCTGAGCAGCCCTTCATTTTCATGTGTGTGTTTTTGTGCAGCAGTTTGTAAGGTGCCTGGCTCTTCCCCCTGAGAAATGATGTGTGTCTGTTTTGTGTATCCCTCTGTACCTTAATTATCACACAGACCTTAATTTTATATGCTGTTACAGCTGCCTTATTTAGTGTCTGTGCTTGATGCGGTCAAACCATGCTGGGATCAAAGTTATTTTCATTGTAACATGTTCTTCTGAAGGTTTTGGCCTGGATTTGTACAGAAGAGGTACCGTGGGCAGTGAGAGTTTAAGGAAGGGGGGTGTCCCTGCGCCGGGGTGACCAGGGCTACCTGTATTTCAGATGTGGTCACAGCTAAGGTGTAATTCTTGGCCTGCCCGAGCTGAGGGAGCAGCATATTTCAAATGTCTGTGGATAAGAACTGGGTCACTGTGTTTGCTGCCGCGGAAGGTGCTGTAATGAGGGTGTGTTTATTGGGAATGCGGGTTCGGTCCGTGTGCGCTCGCTGTGGCTGTACCGCTGCCGCTGGAGACAATAAACCACTGAACCAAGCGCTGCCCTTTGAGCGTCTTCCTCACAAAAAGAAAAAAAGAAAAATTACGTTTATTTACCTGTAGTAATTGCTTCCCCACGAGGGAAGGGTTTTTCCGCAGAGCCCCTCTCGCCCCCATCCATCCATCCACCCACGCACCCTCCCCGGCGGCCGGGGGGCGGTGCGGGGTGCTGTGGCGGCGGGAGGTGGTGCCGGAAGGGGCGGGTGCGGGGCGGCGGGGCCGTCATCGCCGTGCGCCGGCGTGCGGGGGGCATGGCGGCGGCGGCGGGGGGCGGCGCGGAGCGGTACTTCACGCGCTGGTACAAGCCAGGTACCGCCGGGCGGGGCCGGGAGCGGGTCCGGGGGCGGCGGCAGCGGCGCGGGCGGTGACTGGTGTCTGTGTCCCGTTGCAGACGTGAAGGGGCGGCCGTGCGAGGACTTCTGCGTGCTGCAGCACTCCAACAGGCGAGTGGCGGGGCCGGGAGGAGAGGGGGGATTTGGGGTGCTGGGGGGCCGGCCCTTGGGGAGCCCCCCCCCAGCGAGGGGCTGAGCCCCGCCAGCCGCCCCGCCCCGTCCGTGCCCCGGTGCTGCCGCTGCCGGTGGGGGTGTGGGCCCCGCAGGCACCGCTCCGGCAGGAGCCCCTGGAGAGGGAGGGGTGGACAGTGGCAGGTTGTCCGGGGCTTTTCCGGAGGGTGGGAGAGTGACAGCAATCCTCGGCTTCCTCTGCCCTTCTTTAATTGAAAGGAGGATGTAGAGAGGTGGGTGTTGGCTCTTCTCCCAAGGGAACAATGACAGGAGCAGAGGAAATGGTCTGAAGTTGCGGCAGGGGAGGTTGAGATTAGACATTAGGAAGAATTACTTTACTGAGAGAGTGGTCAGGCACTGGCACAGCCTGCCCAGGGAGCTGGTGGAGTCACCATCCCTGGAGGTATTTAAGAAACGTGTAGACATGGCTCTTCAGGGCAGGCTCTAGTGGCTGAGATTGTATGGGGCTTTTTGGGTGTGTGTGGTTGGATTCGGTGATCTCAGGTCCTTTCCAACCATGATGATTCTGTGATTGCCCCAAATATGCCCAACAGATTTATTTATTTTCCTTTAAAAGGCCCCTTCAGTGTGTGTAGTGCTGCCCTCCAGGCCCAGCATCCTCTGCTGCCTGGAAGGGCCCTGTACATCATCTTCAATGGCAGAAGAGCATCATTTCGAAAGGCTTCTTCATAATGATGTCTAGAAGCAAGCTGCTTAACTTGGTTTCTAAGAAATTAATTAGCCCAATTTGAACAAACATTTTGCTTTTTCTATATACAACTTAATTGCCTTTAATGGTACTTCCCTGTACTACGGGCAGTGACTACAAAATAGGAGATGATAGAACGCCACCCATTGCTGCGGCTTTGCTGGAGCTGGGTATCCAGTCGTTTGGATGGGACACATCAGCCCTGTACCTGCTCTGGACTCTTAATAACCCTCCTTACCCTCCCCAGCTCCTGCCCCACAGCTACAGTCTGTCCTGGCTGCAGGTGGCTTGGTGGCGTTGGGGCTATCTCTGGGGTGTTTAGTGCCTGAGGGAAGAACAGAACGTAACTTCCATCTGCAGAGAACAGGGCAGTGCCAATCCCCATGTGTTGAGGGAAGCCGGGGGGAGGCCAGATGGAGACCTTGGCTGTCCCCAGCGGGCTGCCTGCTCCCGTTAGGAATTCAGAGTGATGGGAAGGCCGTGCCTGGCAGAACCATCAGTGGCCTCGCTGCAGCCTCCGGAGCGGGGGCCGTTTCATGCAGTTCACTTTCTCGTTCTTTGGAACAGAAAGCTGGAATATCTGGGAGTAACAGGTGTGACAGCAGCAGTGAGGACGGACAGCCTCCTCACACTTGCACTAAATATGTAATTGTTAGTCTTGGTTGTCTACTATAAAAACCTTTCTATTGACAACAGTTTAAATCCTGTTGGTATGTGTGTGTGTGGAGGAAATAAAAATAGAACCACTTGTTCAAATGTCTATAAAGATTATTTTGCTGTTTTGACTTCTGAAATATCAGGGCCCTTGCCTTCTACAGCAGCTTAGCCAAATGCTCTATAAGTATTTTACCATTATTTTGTGTGGGGCTGTGGCTTGATTAGGCATTTCCAAGCAGTGTTAAATTCTTTGGGGATTTATTTTTTTTTTTTGGCCAGGTCTGTAATAGAGGTAACACTCAAATAGAGGATTTGCCATCTTCCCGTGAGAGAAGGGAAGGGGTGGAGAGGGAGCTTTGCTGGTCCCTGTGAGATGCTGAAAGGGCTCGTCAGGATCCAGCTCCCTCTGGCGGGAACTTGCAGAGGGATGTGGCCGTGCAGGGAGATGGATGCAGCATCCACGCTCAGGGAGAGCTCTGCTTCTGTGCCGTGGCTTTCTCTACAGTTACCCTTAAGTCTGGTCCTTGCTCTGGGTTTTAAACTCCTCTCAAACAGAACCGCTTCATCTGGGGCTCTGCGTGTTTGTGCATCAAGCAGGGCTCTAACCCGGTCTCTGCAGCTGGGCTTGTCTCAAGCCCCCCAGTTCCGTAACAAAAAACAGCCCTCCTTTAGAAGACAGATAAAATGCCAGCAGCAGGGTAGCTAAAGCACGGATCAGCAAAGGGTTTGTCTGCTCTAACCATTGCCCAGTACCGGCCTTTAGCTGTTCTGAGAAACATTGCCCTGTGTTAACGTTTTCCTACAAAAGCACGCCGTGCTTCAATTGTTTGTCATGAGTATCTACCTCAGCTGTCACACAGACAAATGAACCATGTCTGCCCGCATGGGGTACAACAGATAGAAGAGCTCTAGCGTAGTATTTCAGGGCTGTGGTTGTGTCTAAGCAGTGCACTGCTTTTGATGAGCCAGTCCAGCATCTCAAAACAAAGTACTTTCTGTGGGGGTGGCTTTAGGTCCAAATGCAATTCAGTTTGGTACAGCAGATGTCAACTAAGATGCCCTGAAGTAAGTGAGTCTGATTTGATCCTTTATCTGATGTTTTTGTAAGTAAGTGGGAAATTTTATTTGTTCCTGATCTACAAGCCAAGAATTATCTTGTTATCTCAGGTAAACTGTGTTCTTGTTACCCTACTCAACACCCACGCTGTCACCCAGAACCCCTCTGTCCTTGCATCCTCCCGGGGCCTGGTAGGTGCCCGTCCTGTGACTGATGCTGAATATCAGCTTAACATTCCTGCTACACTAGAAGGAAGAAGACTGTGCTTACACAATGAAAGTAAAGAAGAGCCTTTACAACACTAGAAGTCCTGCAAGCATTTTAGACTAGGAGCCCAAATGAAGCAGTCAGTATCAGTTTCAAATCCTACCAGTATGGGCAGAGGTGGTTGTGGAGCTTTGCCTGGAGCACAGAAGACCAGGGCTTCTCACAACTGCAGCGTAATAATTACATTTCTTATTGCAGAATCTGTGTCATCACCTTGGCAGAAGCCCATCCTCTTCTTCAAAATGGAAAAACAATTACAAGCATTAATTACCAAATCAGTGCCAACTGCAGCAGGCTCCAGAATAAGGTCTCTGGGAAGTCAAAAAGGGTACGGCTTTTTGATTTGTTTTGATCTCATTTTCTCAATTCATTTTCTCAACTCTCACAGGGTCTGAGACTTTCTGTCCTTTCTAGGATAGAGAGGTACCAGGTTACCTTTGCATTTTATTTTAAAATAGCGCCTCCATAGTTAAATCATTTAGACTTTTCTCACAGGTGCCCATCTAACTGTCCCAGCCAGGGTCTTACAGTGCTTCTACAGCACCGGTGCTTTCCAGTGTTGTTCAAAGCAAGGCTAACAGTTGCTTTTAGTAATTTTTTCTTAGTAATTAGAGGGACTCAGACATGCCTATATACATAAAAATGTGTTTCCACCAAAACACCAAGGATTTGGGGACTACTGTTTTTTGTCAAACAGACCTTGATAGCAGATGGACTAGTTCAGTGTGTTTCATGGTGTGGTTTAACCTGGTTATACTAAAATCAACTGTGCTTTTTTTTCCCCTCCTCTCTTTGCTGAGTTTAATCTGGTCAAACTACAACTCTGCTATTCCACAATAAACTTAGTTATGACTAAATTTGTAAGCTCTCACAAGCTTCTCATCTATTTGTGCCCATAACTAAGTTGTCATACTCCCTTCTGCAGGGAAGCACAGCATGTGAGTTGCAACGACCTGTTACTGTCACACATTCTTGCTTTGTTCTGAAGCTCACCAACTTCTTGTGTTGCTGATGGCAGTATTTTAAAAAGCCCTGTGTAATCAAAAATGTATACATATGTGTGCATACATATATTTATATATATTTATTTTTTTTTCAAATGCAGGGAGCTCAGTTTTTAACAGAACTTGCCCCTCTGTGCAGGATATCTTCATCAGATGGAGAGGAATACACCATTTATAGGTAAGGTTTTTCCTTTTTTCTTTGTCTTCCCATGCTGTAGCATGCACTTTTACTGAAACTTAACCACCTTTGCAGCTGTATACGAGGGCGTCTGATAGAAGTGAATGAAAACATTCTTAGCAATCCAGCTCTTCTACAAGAAAAGGTGAGAAACTTTTTTGCTTTTTATTTTCTAACTTTTATTTCAGTACTAACTCTAGTCCTGCATTTTAGCCATTGACCGAGGGATACATTGCAGTGGTTCTACCCAAATTTGAAGAAAGCAAGAGTATAACTCAAGGACTTCTGACGCAGAAGGAATATGAGGAAGTGTTGTCGAAACGTCTTAATTCTTCTTCATGAAATTAATTATATAGGTATCATCTGTATTTGATACTAAATAAGCTACTTCTTTTGTACACTGTAACTTTTATGGTATTGAAAGGCCTAGTGTCTGTTTTTAAAAGTGGAACTTAAACGCTTGTTTCATACAAGAATAAAACAGTTCAAATAGTTTGTATTAAAATTTGCTTTCTCTTTCAATTCTAGCAAGTTTTAAATAAGAATAGAATGATATATCGGAGACTATGTTTCACAGGCAGCTTTGCTTCTGCTCAGTGCAACAGTAACATACAGAAAAATCACATGATTTGGCTATCACGTCACTTTTGTATTAGTTTAGCTAAATGAAAAAGCTGAATTGAAAATAAAAATCCATCAGAAGCCTATATACAAAGAGCAGATAAACTTGAGAATATGTATTTCATACCAGGTTATATTTTCATAGCATCCTGAAGTCAAATAATGCCCTTTGTACAGAAGTTTGTCATAACCAGTATCCATTTTTTTAAATTTAACGTAAAATTAATAACATAAAGTCTACATAATAGTTCAGTGGTTCTACATGCAATTAAAATTCTGCTCAGATAAGTTTTAATAAAAAGGAATAACAGCTACCATCTACAAATAGAGACGGTAAAAGAAGAAAGGGTTTGAGTCAAGAGTATTAATCACTTAAAAATACACTTTTGGAAATACGGATCACGTTCACAAGACTGGAATTCAGAGGTGCAGCTGCGGAAAGAGGTTTTTTTTTTTCCTAGAACTACTTCATTGCAGGGATAACTCGTAACTAAGATAACATTTCAGTGCTTTAGGCCACAGCCTTTCAGACTACATTCCTGATTCTGCTTTAGCAAATACATAGACTGAAACAGGCCAGAGATGAGATTACAGACTTCAACAGTAGTGTTACATATAGCATATGCAGCACAAGGTTCTTTATATAAAATGTCTATTAGCAGCATCTTTGGGTTGAAACATCCATTAAGACATTCATAAGCATTAATTACAAACCCATTATCGATAGTGAGCATAGAAAAGGCAGTCACATTATAAAAATACGTAATGATTAGACCTGTAGGTGCTGTAATTGCTAAGTAATGGGACATCTATTAGATGTGACAAAGGTCAACAGTTTTAATTCAAATTAACCTGGTTTGACTTTCCACAAACGAAAGCAATATTGAAAACTTAGCAAGTGTTATTATCAACTGGGAGTTCCTGCATTTCTAAGTGCTGTAATTACTTGCTGTCTAAAAATGTCATGTTTGTTACATGATTTTCTAAAGACTTGATGCTAAATGTCTCAGCTCTCCTTTCTGGAGTATGTGCACTTGTACCAGTTCGTATTCTGTCTTCTCTCCACGGTGGAGCAGGTTTCAGACAGCCATTTCCTGCTTTATACTGTGTATATATAGATGAAAAAAAGTTTTCTTAAAAAACCAAAACCAAACAACAAACAAGAACAAAACCAACCAAACAAAACAACAAACCAAACCACCCCCGCAACCTTTAAAACACTGTAGATGGACCAAGTACTCGCCTTTCTCAGCAATCTGCAGCAAAGCGGAAGGAGTTGGCATAACAGAGTCATCACGTTCCTTGTTTTCAGAATGCATGCATCAACCTAAACAAAATAATTAGAGTAGAATAGGACCACTGATTACTTTATTAGGCAACTGTTTAATGCATGAGATGATTATTTCATGCTTGAATAGGTGATATTTTTATTTCATAAATACCTTCTAATCAAAAGATTTTGCACTGCCTTTTTGAATTTCTCTATATAGTATGTGTAAAACAACAGCTTCCCTTCTGTTAAGCCAACACCTGAGCTAGGAAGCAGAAGGGAATGACACGTAATAATATAATATTAATATCATAATATTAATAAGTAATATAAGCGTCTTGGAAAGGAGCTCTTACCACCTAAGTGTGATTCCCCACAATTCTTCATGGTTTTCCTTAATGTCAGCATGATTTAGAAAGCCATACATCCTTGTAAGCCTTACCTTGATATGAGTTACACTGACAATTAGCTAAATCTTAAAGCATTTGAGTTTATGCCTCAAGTCTAAGACTTAGCACAGGTCACAAGTTAAGAAACATTAATTTGATAGGCTATTATCACTATGTGGCGATACATTACTCTGTATAAACAGACTGAAGTTCCCTTTTAGTTTAGCTAAAGAATCCAAACCAAGCAGTAGCCCTCAGGTGCTCAGTTGGGTTTTGAGTGGCTTTGATGGACTGGACAGTTAGAATCCCTGCTGGAAAACTGAAACACCTTTTCCATAGCTCCTTGGAAACAAACATGTAGGTGCACAGGAACAGTCTGGCTCACACTGATCATATTGCTGATCAGGAAAGTTCTTCAAAAATCCTGACCTCTGTTCCCCACTGAAGTTTGCAGATCTACTTATCGTGGTAACAAGGCTGGAACTTTTATTGGAGGTATATACATATTAAAATAAATACAAAAAATATCAGAATAAACACTGAGTAGTCTAGGGTAGACTCTACCTACTAAGAAGCAAGCATGTATTTCAGTAGTAGAGTCTTTGGGGTTTGGAATCTATTACATCTATGGTAAGCATCAATCAGATCAGAATAACAATAATTATTACAGTGGTGGAAATAAAAATTACCTTGATAAATATTATACCTTTCTTAGTGAGGTACACTTAATTGCAATTTATATCTCTGAATGAACTGCTAGTGGGTTACAGGATTATTATTGTAATCTAGTGGATTACAGTATTATTATATACAGTATTACTCCATCTTGTATTATTCAGCTGAGAATTCTCAGTAGCAGCAAGATAAAATTCCAGTACCTCTCTGTATCTATTGGGTAAGTTGAGGGGGATGTTGACAGAAGTTCTCTGAAAAAAGTTCTCAGCAGTAAAAAGCAATATAAGGTAGTGAAAGCCTATGGACACCTTTCCTTTTTTTTTTTAATTTTTTTAAGGGCAGTCCAGGGACATCGTTGTCTTTGGAAACATTTCTGTAAACTCCTTCACTAACAGTGAAATCCAAAACCCAAATGATAATTTCAGTACTTTTAGTAAAAGGAAGGAAAAAAAAAATCCTATTACTTATTGTACTGATTCTTAGACAGTAAGGTTCATAAATTAGGGGTAGGGAAACTGTTCCTTAAAACACTAATATCAGTGATATGTCTGTGGCCAGTGGGCCAGTTAAACAAAACTTGGATATCCACACTCCCTAAAGAAAACATTCATGTAAGCCTGCAGAGTAATCCTACCCCAGCTATCCACTGCCAGCCTCCCATGTGTGCTGGGTGCCAGTCTATCATGTTTTGTCCCCTGTCAAACTCAGCATCAATGAGGGGGTCAGGTCAGGTCAGACTAAACTTCACCGGAGCCCTTCTCTGCCGTTGGGTGGGGAGAAGTCTAGAAAACAGTAGTACCCGGGCTGAAGAACATCCTTTCCTGACACAAGATAGTGCAGTAAATGGCTTATGTTACAGTTATCAGCAAGGAATGTCCCAACAGACAGAACATTTTTAGCAAGAGGAACAGTTCTTGCTGTTCTGCCTCTGTATTTCACACATCAGCTTCTCAAGTTGAAGTAAATTCCTCTTCTACACAAGTAACAGCAATGACATATTGCATAGCAGAAAAATGCTTGCACAACATTGTAAAATTTTGTACTTATTAATTTTTATGGTCCTCTGTCAATCCAAGAAGTTCAGCTGTTATGAACTGTTCCATATTTAAACAGGAGCATAAATTAGTAAGTTACTATATTTCAAATCGTTAGGTCTTACTTTCAGCACCGCATACAGTTCTCACCTTACCTTCGTAAACGTAGCACTTTTACCCTGAACAGAAGCCTTAGCTGTTATCTGGAGCTGCTTGCACATAGAGACCAGTTTTTCAGCCTCCAGCAGAAGCAAAGATCTGTCACCATCGCGTACCTGAATTGTGTTTTGGGAAGACAAAGCCACTCTGTGTTACAGTCTGCAACATTAAGTTAAGGGAGAAGATAAGGCAATGAGCTGTTAAGGGTATCACCAGTGCCTCAGCTGAATGGCTGCTCGAGAGGTCATACATCACCTGATCAGAAAAGTCATGAAGAGCTGAAGCAAGCTTTGTGCCCTCCGCAGCAAAAATCTGAAAGGGGGAGAAAGCATGTAACAAAATCAACCACAGTGAAAGATCAGGCTCTTTACCCTTGGTCTTTTAATAAACGGTGTGCTATATAGTGAAAAGGCAGCAGGAAATACTTGTGGTAGTTGTACACATTTTATAATTAAAGTTAGCAGTTTGCCGTGACTTCTGAAATAACATGCTACACTAAAAATGGCCATTCTCCCAGATAAGCAGAGTTTAAAGGCTTTGCCTTTACATATTTAAAAAAACCAAACCTGACTGCCAATTATTTTCACACCGTAGCAGCTCACAAGAATTTTGTGAGTAGAGGACACCTGCCATGTTTGTTTATTGGCCTGACAAAGGTAACCAGTCTCCTGTTAAACACAGGCACGTACCTGGAAAATAACACACCACATTCCTTCACTTGCCCCCTTGCCTTTTGTTTGTATTATTCAAATTTCTCCATCTTTCTTTCCCATGAAAATGCTGCCGCTCAGACCAGGACAGAGTACTCGTTAACACCGTCGGGGACTGCGCTAAGTAACACAACCAATACTACTAATGCTCTGAAGTCCCCGATATTTGCCACAATGCCAGTTTGCCATTCCTGCTCCTAACTGGAATCTGCCAATTCAAGGAACACTGTCTTAAGCTACTACTAGAATGCTGAAATGTCAGCTTTCAGAAAGTACGTACCAGACTTAGGGTGTTCATAGTCTACAGTTGCTAGTCAATTCATGATAAGTATGTGTAAGAAATCAGAGAGTTAAGTTCCAATTTGTTCTTCACTCAGAGTTCCTAACTCCTATTTTGTTAAAAATATATTACCTCTGCTTGATGAAATAAATCTTGAGTAGTTTTCAGAAGTCCTTCTCCTCTGTGGGAAATAATGAAAGCAGAATATATGCCATGTGTACACTGTAGATTATTTTGCCTGCTACTTGCACAATTTACAGCGTCTCTCTCTCGTCCCCATTCCCACCACTGAACTGTAAAATAACACTCTTAGAGGACGCTACGCACAACAATAACCTACTACAGGAACTGCATTTCAAAATGTTATATAAACACCTCAGTGGCTGCAGCACTACTGGGAAATTAGAAATGGTTCAATTCTCTGCAGCTGGACAATGACAGGAATCCATGTCTCTGGCATACTGAGTGTTATTGGGCTACAAGGAAAGAAAAATCTCAACTCTTATTAAAAAAATCCTACATTCTTCAAATAAGAAAGCTGACACCGCATGGTCAAGTTTCAGAAGAACACCTTTCAGTACAGCAAAGATGAGTAATTCTAATCTACCGTTACATATCTGTGCTTTAAGTCCCTTAATTTTGAAAGTACTTATGAACATGCTTCTTAAAATGTTTTCTGTACCCAAGAGATATTTAAACAGCGGTTCTGCAACAAAACTGATGTTTAGCACTTAACCCCCCCCAATTTCATTATGAAGCAGCTTAGACATTTTCAAGAATTTATAAAGCATAAGGATAGAAATTAAAGCTCCTTTCTGAATGTGTCCCAATCATCATACTCTGAAAATCAAATTGTCTTATAAACACTGTTAATGCTCTTCTCCCCACCAAAACATGCTGCTAAGGTGTAATTACCTGGTAAATAAATACATGGAGTAGGCCATACTTGACATGCGTTGTCCATGTTGCACAATCTCATTCTCCTGATCCTCCCATTTCTCTGTCTCAGAATCCACATCAGATGTGAGCAGATGCAGTTCCAATCCAAGTTTTGCAATTTTCGCTTGTTCCTGTAAACGGTAACCATATTTATGGCCCTTGTAAATACTTTCTTCAGACAAAAAAAAAAAAAAAAAAAAAAGCTTTTTTACTGAAATGATGAAATCTTACCTCAGTATCTAGTTTGACTGGCTTTAATGCTTTCAGATTTGCATTATGCTTCTGTTTCAAACAAAAAAATAATAATTTTAAATAAAAAGGAATTAGTAATAATTTTCCTAACAAATCGTAAGAGGTGGCTGTATACTCAGACACAGACTTTGCAGGAGAGCTCCAGGGGTTGAGACAAACTTCTCAGTAGCAGCCGAGAACCTGTTCTGACCTGGCTGTCCTCCTGAAATGGCCTGTGCAAACAGGGTCTGTGCCTACAGACACCCTAAAGTCTCAAGGAAAAGACCTTTTCCACAGTTCACAGAATTGCAGGGGTTGGAAAGGACCTTCAGAGATCACTTAGTCCAACCCAGCTTCCTCATGCAGTACCATCTCTTTCCCTTACCTTCTAAATCCGCAGTAATGCTTAGGACTACATAAACAGTCTTATCAAGTACTACTGCACTGATTTTGTCCATCAAAGATAATACTGAGATAAGAGGGACTTGGAAGTTGATTTAGCCAGTAGCAAGCTGATCTAGGGTACAAGCCATGTAAATACTAGTGTGACGATGTAGCTCATTATTCTGTGTCACTCTGTTGAAGTAGCTGAAAACAAACCCTGACACTTTGATCTTTTTATGGGTTTCCTTCTTATTAAGTCATGAGGTATCTGAAATACCAGTAGGGCTGCAAGCCAAATATTGGCTCAGACTAAAGAATAATTAGTGGTACTGATGTGAGTGCACTATCTGGTAAGGCAGAGCTTGCCAGCTGCATAACACATATACACATGATTTGTTTCAAATCAATTGGCACATAGAAAGCAGCAGCTCCTGGCTTTAACTTCAGTTTAACTGGTGCTGTCACTGTGCAAAGAGTGACATGGGAGCCACAGTCCTCATTCAGAAACTGCACTGGGGTGCAGAGGAATGGAAAGTACAAAGTTGGTGTCCTAACTTGGAGAGGTGAGCTGCTGGAAGAGGCTGGATGACAACAGTGCAGGACTGAGATCCTTGTCTGAGGATCTGAAAAGAGCTGCTATTCATTAGTGGGAGTACTTGGGCAAATAAAGCTCAGTAGTGCCTGCAGGGGAAAAGGAAAAACAACAACAAAAAAAGCAGCACTACACATTGTGAGCAGCATCAGAAATAAGCTCCAGGTGCAATCTCCATCTCTCACTTCAAGAGCTTGAGCAAAAATAAAGTAATGCTATTGAAGTTCCTACTGTAATTTACTGCTCAGTGTAGCTTTCATGCCATTTCTCTTTTTCCATCCCAAAATTTTTAAGTATTCTGAATATTACGTCTACCCAGATTAAACACTGTCATTCTGCCTATGTATTAGAAAAGCTCATCTTGTATTTAAGATTTAGCAAAAAGCGTATGAACTGATAGCCCTAACTGTTACTTAAGTTTGACCATATTGTATGTTAGGAGATGCAATTCAAGACATTCTGGTTTTAAGGCAGAGTCTTAAAAGAAGAAAGTAACACAAAACCAAACTAGGTTTGTGTAAAAACATAAACTTTGAGGTACAAGGTATGGCAAATATTTAAGCTGCTAAGTGAAGGGTATTCAAGAAAACCAGCACTTAAGTTTTTCTATCCACAAATAACTAAAGAAACCTCAGAATGTTTGTCAGATTTGTAGTTTTCTCCATTCTACTGTTCATTCACACTATTTGAATAGGAGAACTGGTGAAAATCAGGTAAGCACCTAACACTATAGAGAAAAATACACCTATGCATTAAGCACTCACACGAGTCATCACTACTGCTCTGTCCTCAACTATGGCATGGTCTAGGATGCCACTCATTACTAGCAGACAGCACGGTCACAATTAAACAGATGTAACAGAATATGTAATCTAATTAGATCGACAAGAACAGTGTGACTTCTGTGGAGGGACAGCGTGGGCATTAGCCAGGCACGGCACCTCTGTGATGGCAGGAGGGAGAGAAGAGGCAGCGCCGAGTCACAGCACTGGGGAGAGAGGTGGTTCCAAAGGTCAGTGCATCAGTTAGGCAAAGAAATTACTCTGTGAACAAACTCTTTGTCTTATGAACATAATCTACATTTACTGTCTACTTCCAAACTGCCTATTAATCATAACTCCCCCAAATCTGTGCATCTTGCAAAATTCAAAAGAAGACAGCAACCTTTCAAATGACAACAAAGCAGAACTTGCTAACAAAGATTTATTGAAAGTATTTTTAAAAGGCCTAAGAATCAGTAAGTGGGAATCTGACTTCAAGCATCTCTTCTCTAAATTTTGGCTGAAGTCCAGAATCTATGTAGCTTAGTTAAACCAGTGAGGGACAAAAACCCTATCAAAAGTCACTGAACCAATCTATTTTCCAGTCTCATTATTTAGTTCTGTAACAGTGAAATGCATCCCTGCTCACCCAGCCTAACCTTATAGTCTATTTAAATCTGCAGATTGGATTTCTAATGTATGACCTTTTCTCCTCTTTTCGTTAAGGGTCAGAGGTAGCATATTGTGTTTGAAGTCACAGAACTGCACAACAGGAGATGTGGAGACAGGAGATCATTTCACACCCAAGTTCCTCAACACTACTAGTTCAGGAAAGAAAGCAAGGAGAGGAAAAAAAATCAAGCCGGAGCTTACTGTACCTTCTGAGACCATTCTTCCCTTTTATTCTACCCATGAAAAGATTCAGTACGCAGCAAGTGAATCAAAAGACTGATTACATGATAACAACAAGGTTTAGGAGGCTTCTTAACACACAAATGCTCTCAGAAACAATGTAGTATCAATTATAGTCAGCTAAGGATATTAATTACCTCACAACTAAACCTGGGCATTTGGTGTAGCTTTTTTTTTTTTTCCTCGGCATTAAAAACATTTAAGATCAAAGAAGGAAACAAGAATTAATTATCTGAAGAGCCTACAACAGTAGGCTCAAACATGTCCATTTGTTCCAAATGGGTCAACTCGGGCAACAACATAAAAAATATCAGATTACCAAGACTTATTTTCAGTATGTTGCAACGTATTCTCACTGTTTTAATGGTAACAATGCGTTTTTTTATTATATAGTGTGACAATCTAGTACATGGTAAAAAACCGAGTCATTATATATGGAACAGGAATTAAAGCTCATGTACAAAGTGATTAAAGCATATTAATATAACTAGTTACTCTGGTTTTCAGTATGTTTGTTACTCATTTATTAAACTGATGGTTTGAAATGTTACTGTCAGCTCTCCAGTCAGGATGCATGTTACCAAGATATTGTTACGTCCTCGTTACGGTGTAACACGGAAAGAGGTCAATTAGTTAACAGCAGATCTAAAGCAAATGCAAGAATCCCAAAAGCAACTTACCCCTGGTCTGGGCAGTGATAGGTAGACACGCTTCTCTCCTATGAAGAACACACACATTTACACCAAAATTTGTATGCAGATTTTAATCAACGGGATCACATGCCTTACTTCATCCTTCCTTAAATTACAGTACTATATAAGCAAACTACTTACCTTTAATTCCTCCTCTTTGAACATTGCAGAGGATTGCCTCTCTGTCTTGTGCTTCCAGAGCGAGACAAACCAAGAACTCTGGACTGTTCAGATTTTAGCTCTCAGCAATCGGCAGTTACGAAAGCCTCTCTGAACAGTTTCCCTCAGTCAGATTGCTAGTCCCCTGCATGCAGCCCACAAGCCAGCAAAGAAACTCTCTGCAACGACTGAGTCGTTATTGCTACATGCACTCATTTGGTTGCAAAGTGCAGAACATACAACGGTAGTTCCCTGTAAGGCTTCTCTTGGCATGGGCTGGATGGTAAAAATTTGGAGTAGCAATGACAGCAGGGAAAAACACCTGGGTGGGTTTTTCTAAGAAAAGCTGATAAAACCCTCATGTTTTACTGTACTATAGGCATCACACATGCACTGCATTTTATAAAGAAAAAAGTTCTACAGCATTTTAAACACTTATTGAATTATTTCATATTTCCCAAGTCTGAGCAACACAAATGGAGAAAAAAAAAATCCTTTTAGGTGTCACCTAAAATTGGGTAAGAAGGGCTTATCGGACACAGTGCCTGGGCTAACAGCCTAGGATTAGAGTTCTAGTTACCAGAAGATTTAAACTTAAGTCTTCATAGATAATGATTACAATAGATTCAGGAAAGTCTGCTAAATAAACTGGAAATTACATAAAGAAGTATCTTAAGAGCTAGTGAAGAACAGGTTTTACCTGAAGGAACAAAGGGCTACTATAATGGATATTGGTACCAGGTTTGCATAGAGATGACGTATCTTGACAAAGGACAAGCAACAAATTGCCCTACAATTGCTATGTCCTCCTCTTATATCAGCTCCTAGAGAAATTCCATTCTGACTCCTCAGGAGACAGTTCTCTCATGCATTCATGATTTTTTGAAAGTATGCTCTTTATCCCATGACACCACAGAAAGATCATGAGCTCCATGTCTAGGCAACTGACTCCTAAAACCCAAATTTCAGTATGTTGACAACAACCCTCTTGATAAATATGAAAAATTGTATTCTTCCTTTCTAAGATCACCTCTTCCTTCCCCTAGCCAGTTTTGTGAAAGATGAAATGAGCTATCAAAGGCACAAGCTGCCTGTTTTTTTCAGAATTCAGAGCTATTCAGATATTAATTGCTCAAACATGCATCCAAGCAAGATTTCTCAGTAGAGACTGATCTAAATTATAAGAAGTTATTTACAACATTCTATGTGTCAAAACAGCAGCTAAAGGGCATGTAAGAAAGCATGTAAGGCATACCAACAACAAAAGCTAACTTCTAGTTTAAAATGCTGTAGCATAAAACATGTCCTTGGTGCTATATAAAGAACCTGTTGTACCATGTTAACAAAAAAGTTCAAACACAGAAAGCTTTGACATAACAAATGGAATACAAATGCATACTGAGAGGACATACTACTCGCACACGCAAGGTGGGCATTCAGAATTTTGGAAACCAAATGGAAAGGGGTCATGAACAGAAATAAGAAAAAATAATTTGTTTTTGCTCTTCAAGCAATTCCCATTACTTGATTTTGCAAGTTTTAGCTGGTCACCATATTCAGAAAGACGAAGGAGCTCACTGCTTATTTCTTGGAACATCAACAAAAAAACCACAACACAAACCCCCAGAAAACACACACACACAAAACCCACCTCACTGGAACCACAGATACCAGACCTTTCACAAGCGCAGATCAATTCAGGCGAGAGATAATCCTACTTCATCAGAAAATACTTAATTGCATCAGTATAATCACAGAATTTATATTTGATTCCATGAACAGAACATACATACGTATTTTTTCAGGTATTTAATTTCCTTTGTTTCTAAGTCAGATATTTGCTGTAATAACAAAAGATTTTTGCCATGTTATGATCTTCCTTTTATTTATTCCAGATTGCTTTTGTTTTTAGTAATGTGTTTTCTCTAATGTGCTCTTCCTTTTTTTTAAAATTTAAAACTAATTTTTATTGTTTTATCCTCTTTGTCTTCAGATTTTCTGCTTTCTAGTAGATCCAGCCATGTTTTTTCCTCCAAAATGTCTCTATTTCAACTTCTAAATCCTGCTTTTGATCTCACTTCTTATCTGAGAGCAGGATGGCTGCATCCCTGCTTCACTCTTCTTTTCCTAGAACCCTAAATTCCGAAATTCTGATCTGTATTCCCTATTCATCAAGCACGACCCTCCCAAATCCTCATGGTCATTTAACTGCTCTCAAATCAAGTAGGCAAAACAAAAAAGAGAAGGGCAGAAAAGGCAGCTATCTTCATAGATATTCTCTCCCTTCTGACCAAGTTTCAAGGGAGTAATCAGAAATTATTCACATTCTTCTCCAGTACATTTAAAACCAAAAAGTTAAGAAGAAAAAAAACAAACAAACAAACAATAAATTGGTTGACTCCAACAGAGAATTACTTTCATTAGGGGATTCATCTCAAAGTGCAAGAGCCTCAAAGTTAAGTAACTAAACTGGTAACACTGAGAACAAACTGGTACCTCCACCAGCTGAACCAAATCTCTGGGCTGGCAGGAGCCACCCTCCAGAGATGCTCTACAGATGCTTGGCACCCTCCTCAGCCCAGACCAGCCACACAACATTTCAAGCACCAGCACTGTGCAGGATGGGCCTCCTCACTGTTGGATTAAAAAGTGTTTAGGATTAAGCAAAAGAAGTTCAACTCTACCTCACCGTACAGTTCTGCACAGCACAGAGACATTTTCAAAATACATGTGAAGGCAACTGGGCTGTGGTCTGCTCACCAACCTCCCCCACCCCTACGTGTGAGTGCACCCTCCTCCCCAAAACCAGCCCATTTCAATTTGGGTATGATCTGCTGTGATTACATTAAAATTGAATAAAATATTGCTCATTTCCAAGTTAAATCTGTCTCTGCATTCATGTGAGTTTTGAACCTCAGTAAGAAAAGTATCTAATTTGCTGATATGAAAGAAACACTGCATAAGGCATTACACAATTGCTCATGAAAAATAAAGAAATGAGTATAAACAATATGAATCTAGTGTAATCAGAAAAATGCTTCTTTTATTTGATGTGTCCAGCACATTTAGTCACCATTCATTTTTTGCCTCTTAAGCTGTATTCTGAACTCTCTAACAAAGCCAAACATTTAAATTGGTAGTACAAAAATACAAGTTTTTAAACTGAGGAGAAAAAAAATAAATATATTACCTTTTTACTGTAATTCTATCTTTTGTTACACACAATCACAATTCTACTAGGAAAAAAGCACTTCTTACATTTTAGTCCATAAAATAAAGACACTTTTACCAACCTCAACATTAAGACAAGTATTGTGAGTTACAAGAAGAATAAAATAAGTTATCAGTTGTGTTTTCTACGAGAAATAGCTGTTGAAAGTGGTAAGATAACTTTAGGGTATCTTCTGGAAGCAAAAAGGTGGGGATATTTGGGTGAGATATTTCCCCCCCACCCCCTTTTTTTTTTTGACAAGAGTCACTCTGAAGTCCAAAAAGAGAAAACAAGCAAGCAAAGCAAGATTAGCCTACCACACAGAGGAAAACTTTGTAGAAGATGGGTGGATATAGGATACCAAATTATTTCTAAGATGTCTGATAGTTAATATGGAACAACCCAGACTCAGAGAGATGTCCCTTACCAGGCAAGGCCATGAGACATGGGAAAACAAACATGATTTCTTAAGCATTGTTTTGGCAATACAAGACCTAATGGATCCAAGGCCATATAAAGAATACAAGCTACGCTTACTATCCTACCCATGGTGGTAATCAGAACACTTTATGCTGAAGGAAAGACTGAGGAAGTGAGAGGCACTAACAAGAACAGACTCATCTGGCTATGCCAAACAGGAGAAGACACTGCACCCAGGCCCACACGCTATATCCTCTAACACGCTCAGCAACACCCACCCATTATCTTCTCTCTCCTTCAAGCAATGACATTGGGTTGCCTTGTGAAATGATGCTTTAAAGAAATTGGGAAGTACCTTACTTGTGGAAAATGTCTGTTATCTGGCTGTCAACAGCCACAAGAGAGGAGAAAGTTACTAACTACAGGAGAGGCTGGGAATCTGCTGCAACACTTCAATAACTATTTGTTTGGAGAGCCAAGTATATGGTTTGCTATGACTGCATGATTCTCATCTTATTATTTTTAAATACAGTAAAAAAAATATATATGTATGCAAGCATGCACACATATATATAAATATATAAAAAGGCTACCATTCATCTCTGCTAGAGCATTGTATGAATATGAAAAAAGTCAGATACTGCATGATCAGCCCTGCAAATTCCAAATTTATTGTAGCAGATTAATATTAGAGTAACATCATATTTTAAGGTGCCTTATATAAAATTTAACGCTATGTTTAAAGAAGGTCAGTGTGCCCTTGGCTCCCAAAACAAACAAACCCATTGAAAGTTAAAAGGCCCATAAACAGGATCTCTGATTGCTATGCATCTTTATATGGCATTCCAGGCCAATGTGAAAGAACAAGTAGGATAACAATCATGTATTTCTCAAATGCCTCAAATTCCCAATAACCTGCACTACACACAATTATTGTAAACCCACTCAGAATTTCAATATATGCTTTCCTTTTACAAGTCTTCATGCTCATCCAGCAACCCGCAGCAGCAATTTAAGATATTACTGTCCCGTGGTTGGCTGCTTACCGTCCTCACAACAAAGCTGGCAGAAAAGAACTGCTTACACAAAAACCTGATCAAGTACAGAAACTTAAACTGACAAAATAAACTCTAAGAATGAAAAAAAAGGTCTCACATTAACAGCAAGATGAAGTATTGTATCATTGATAAAGTGTCATCTAACCTGAATAAGGATTACTTTTTCTGTATCTTAAATACAAAAAAATGAAGTCCCTGTATTTAACTAAATCTAAACTTTTAAACCTGAGTGATTTTCTTAAAAATACAAGACATTCATTATTGTTATATATTACATTCTATCTGTAGGCAATTATACCTTAGAAACTGAAACAAACATGTAGGCACAAGAAGTATGACAGGCTACACTAAAGACTTAATCTGAAAAAAAAACCCTGATAGATAAAAATGAAAAACAAAATGGCTTCCATTTTAAAGGTAAATTACCCTACACTAAAAGTAAACACAGAATTTTTGTTCTTAAGATTCCAAGGTTTTCTTCTACATGTTGTACAAATACCAATAAACTTACCAACCAGAGAAAATATCCCAAGATTGTGCAGAGTCGTCAGAGATTCCATCCAGGAGAAAGGACAGCAGTTTAAAAATCAAATAACTACATTCACTACATTATGAAGTGAATACAAGGCAAGCTGACAGCATAGAATACATATGTGTGTGTATATATATATACACATATATCTATTTTCCAGAAATACAGCACATGAATTAAAGATGTCACACAATTCAAGTTATATCTTGATAGTCATGAACTGATATGTCCTAGACAAACCAAAATGTGGGATGAAAGTCCTACACCCCTAATATTTGTACACCTCTGGCAAAGAGTGGTTTGAATGCTTTTGTGTCCTTTGAACAGTTCCATTTGATTTTGCTGGAACTAATCACGGTGCAGAAAGTTAAACATACCTAATTTTACACAGATCAGGCCTTTATATTTTTGGCTGTTCTTCTTTGAAACAAAAATCAACACTGCCACCTAGATTCCATATTGCTATATGGGACGTGGGACTGTTTATTGTGGTCTTCTCTTAAGAAAACAGTATTTCCTAAATCACACTTAAAATTCTTAAGACTACATGTTTTGAAAACTACATTTTTATTTTTCTACATAGCATTCTTACCTCTTCTTCCTTCGAACACATCATTGATTTCTCTTAACAACATAGACATGTCACTCAGTTGAGATTCCCAGGCCTCACAGAACACCTCAAGATTTTCTTTTGCAATCTTGCTAGATGGATGTAATGCCAGTGTTTCTGCAGCAGAAATTATCTGGACAGAGAACAAAGTATTTGCTGTTGAAAGTCCTTGTACATACTGTTGCACATGAATTCACAAATGCCTTCACAGGTAAAACATAAAATTAAATTGCTATTGTTATGTCTTTGTAGTGCATTTATCTGACATTTTCAGGCTTGATGATCTTCCATGTACATTCTTTTAACTACCACCCATCATTAAAGTGTCCAACTGCTTTGGACAGTTCAACATTAGGTCTCTCCAAAAAGTTCATACAAGTAATTTTTCCTGATTTATGTCCAGTAGAAATAGCCAGATAAAAGCGAAGCATACCTGTGGGCCAGTGACCTGAAAGGTATCTTCTGCATGTATGCAAGTGATCTCGAGGGGCTCAGTTCCAGAAACATGCCTCAATAAGCGACACATCTGAATAGTTTTTAGAAATATGAAGAGAAAAGAATGATAAAAACATGCTTTCCTTAGTAGCAAGAAAAGATGCATATGCACAAACACACACACAAAGTTACTGATAGTCCTTTCAGAAACTTATTGGGGACTGCAGAGCTAGGAGTTTCTCAGGGAGCATTTACAATAAAAAGAGGGCTAAACCCTGACTTGAAATGTGTAGAAAATCACCACGAGAAAGAAAAGTCTTAATAAATAAAAACAAACTAACAACAATTTCATATATTTATGACTGAATAAACCTGAAAGTAATCAAACACTTGTGGAACTTGGAAAAGTTGTAGAATAAATAACTTCACCAAAGCAGGCTTACTCAGCAATTAGCAACCACGTGGAAAATTAAGGCTTTCATCATCCAGGGGACTGAATTATCTTTGAGCAAATCAGTGTCAAATTAATTTAGGGAAGAAATACTGTTTCCTTTCACAGTAAGTAAATTGTAGTCATCCTTTTTTTTTTTCCTTTTCATAAGATTAAGAGTGAACTTTGCGCTGAGAAGGAACATCAAAGTCTTCAGACCAAAGGAGAATTTATAAGATAGAGATGGAGACAGAATATAAGAAACTAACTGCACTGTCCATCATCAGAAATGCTACAAGGCCTCACATACAAACATTATTTAATCTCATGGTTATGCCTGAAAAAAATCCAGTGTCTTAAGGAACACTAATTAGTCACAGAAAAAGGGGACATTAGAGCTGAAATTAAAATTCCACAGCACTGATTTGCCAGTCCCGGAAGTTCAAGAGTGTTGCTTCTGCATATTCACACTTCTGGGATGAATCCTCAAGCCCTATATGATACCAGAATTTTTTAGAAATTGATGAGTATTAGATGTCGTGCAAGTATAGCTTCTGGCATCACCACCTTCCAGATCAAAGTGATCTATCTCTGTATGTCTCCTACTGGTACAGTTACTTCTGCTCATCTGTCAGACAAGAGAGCAACAAGGTGTAAATGACAGACACCTTCTCTGCAGGCACTCCCAAGAGCCACGATCTCTCAAGAAGTCTTGGAAGTCCTATTTGTTCACATGTGAATACTACCACATGAAACCATCAATGCATATGAAACATACACAGTGCTTTTCACAAAGGAGAAAAGCTTTTCAGTGGCCCTCAACTGACAAAAACTACACAAAACTTTCAAAACAGTCACGTTCACTGCCTTAAGAAACGTAACCTTACGTTCCCACCATTCTTAAAACATGTCTTGGGATTCAGCTCTTGCTGGATGCCTACTGATTGAAAGAAAAAGGCTATAGTCTCTACTTGGATCTAGAAACCTATTTTTCAATTAATATTCTAGCCCCAATATATACATACAGAATGAGTCTAGATCCAGGAGAATTGGGTACAACTGTACAGCCTTCTACACCACCTGTATGTTGGAGTGACACCTCTGGCTCAGATACTAACAATACTAGGAAAACAGAATAAAAGCTACAAAAACACAGACCAAAGTTTTCCTAAAGACCAGATTAAGACAAATCCAGCCACTCATTTTCTAAGTGCCTTACAAAATAAAAGCAGCCATGAACTCACCTCAACAAGTTGTTCTTTCTGCTCTGATAGCTTGCAAGTATATTCTGCTACAGCTTCAAGATTTCCTTCCACTCCTGTGATCTTTAATGCTTTGAGAACCATATGATCCGTATGGTATTTTAGCAGATCTACTGCCAAAGACGTTGCTGCACTGTGAACCTTGAGTAGCATTAAAAGAAGAAGGAGAGATAAACTTTGGAAGGCAAAATAAAGCTAATAGACAGACTGATTTTTCTAAGAAGAAAAAAATTTACTGCCACGATAGCTTATTTACAGCCTGCATATTATATGGGGCTTTAATTCTTCAATTACTATTCAAAGTACAAAGATAAAATCCATTGCACTCAAAAAACCAAAAAAACCCAAAAACAAAACCAAAAAGCCCCGCCTAAAAAAACAACCCCAACATCCCCCAGGCAAATATGGACAGAAACAAAAGAGCAGCTGGGTAAAATCAGGACATGAGGTTATCACACTGCTGCTTTCTGATAATGTCACAGCTGGGAAAAAACAGGTGCATGAATTTGCAGGGCACCAAGTTACACATAAGCACAGCACAATGGCCACTGGACTTCTCATGAAGAACACATATTAAACTGTGAATCAGCCTGCAACCTCACAGCATCTGAGGGTATAATATATTAGAAGTTAAGTTCCTATGAATAAATTGAATTCTCAGTGACGCAAAGAAAAGCTTGAATATAATCAGCTTGTGACACAGTCTTAGAAAAATAAAAAGCATCTTTTCTACAAAGAGACTGAAGCCAGAGATAGGTCTTGGAGAAGTCTCAAACACTCTCCCTATGAGCAAAGAGAAGCTTCCCCTTGAAACACATCCCTAAATCCAGACACTCTTTCAGACCCATGGATCTGCTGCAATTGTGCTGTGACAGGCTCTGCTTGACAACAGCTATCAGTGACAGCTGCTGCCAGTTCTACTGACTAGTCATAGTAGGTTTACCTACGGCCTTTAATCAATCTGATTTTAAAAACATAGGTAAAAACAAAATAGCAACATCTTTAGAAATAGCAGAGCATTCTTATGCCCAATAATATTATAAGGCTTGTAATATTATCCTCGCTTTGCTGGACTGCACTGAATATTTTAATTAGAGTCACAATACTTAAATTTCACCCATAGAGATCCTGGATGCTGACTGATACACTGCAGCATCTGAAGTCAGACTGAGAGGAAAAGACTGAGGAGAAGAATGATCTACACAGCTGCCAATGGTCCAGAAAAATACCTGAGTATAAGGCACTGTCATAACACATTTCAGCTACAGAAATCAATAGAACAGGTTTCATACAAACAAACAGCAAATGTCATTTCAAACAAACAGCAAATGTCATTTATTCATTTAAGCAGATACTAACAAGAAAAAGTATTTAAAACAGTCATGCATACATCCCCAAGGTAAGTTTAGCCTTACATTTAAAGTAATGATTACATACATTGTACTTATTTCCAAGGACTTCTCTCTTTTTTTTTTTATTTAATTGTTGTCAGTTAGCAAAGAGTCCATGTACCCACCAGATTTCTAATCAGTTCTAAGTAAGGACACAGAAAATGACTACTGTAATTCTGATTTAGCTACTCTTGTCTATAAACAGATACTAACGTTTTGGTGTCCAAGATCCTATTTTACAACTTCACATACAACAAGTAAGAAAGTCAAGCTTTTATTCAGTTTATGCTTGCTTAAATGAGACATACCTCTCTTTTAAGTTCATTCATGCACTGGCATGTTTTTAAAATGGCTACTTCCAAGTCCTCCATGAGATCCTTTGTCTTCTGGTTTTGCTACAAGGCAAAGAAACAGCCAACAAAACATTACACAAAAAACTCAGCAAATCCCATTTTCACATCATGTGTCATTACTTCAAGTTGTTTTAGAAGACAGCCTTTTCTTTCTAGATGTAATGTTTTCATTTGCACATCCTGTGTGTATTTTACTTTAAAAATTCTTTTATAGAGACATTTATCACCAGATCAAATCTAAAAATAATAGTGATGCAAACTAGCTGACTGTTTCTGTTCAGTGGGAATTTCTGAATTTCACTGAGCTTTTTCCAGGAAGAGGGTTTCCTTAAGCTTTACAACTTCCAAAAAATCCTATGTCTAAACATCCTAAAGAACAGCAACAACTTAAGGCATTTTTATTCTTTTTTAAAACATGAACACTCTTTTAAAATCAAGTGGTACCTAAACATTATACCAAATGTTCTATATTGAATTAAAAAATGGTTACTTAAGGCAGCATTGTAAGACTTTAGAGTATTGTCAAGATTTAAACAAGTACAGTAGCTAACAATGTTTTGTTGAGGTAGTTTCAAGACAGAGCTCCCAGTCCTGCAAATAGCACCTATCTATGGAACAGCCCAAATGTTAGGAGACATACACTGGTAAAAGAGTTAACAAACATACATGCACACACAATATGCGTGTACTTATAGATACACACACTTTTCATTTTATTTAAAGGAAAAAAAAATCCACTTGAGCCAATATGATCGTTCTTACGGGTGTCTATTCTAAGTCTCAAAGCTACCCGTCCCCCAAATTTAATGCTTTCCTTTACGTAATTTGTGTAAGAGTGTAGCATCACAAAATCGCTTTTAGCACAAGGAGCATAATGTTTTACACTCACTAGATTGTCCTTTGTATTTCTTATTTAATGTGCACAATTTTGCTCCTTCTATGTGAAGGAACTGCCTAGCCAAAATAAGGTTACAGGCACACCTAAAACAAGACAGTGGCTTGTGATCTTATGAGCTTGAAAATACTCAGAAAGGATTTTAGAAACATTTAAAATTAAATAAACAGCATTAGATTATCAGTTGTGTTCCAGGTAGTTTTCATTAATATACAATAATACAAACAAGAGCAGAGCAGTGATGTCAGTCTAACTTAGACTTGACCAGGGTTACAAGACAATTCTGTTTGAAAACACACTCTTTACTGAAGACTTACAGTTACTCTGCTTGCTGAAAGGATGTATGGCGAGTAGAAAGGGAAATAATTCCCTTTTACAGTAGAAAGGCACTGTAAGAGCTCTACATATCCCCTAGTTCATGTATCCCCAAGGCATAATAATAAAACAACAATCCCACTTCAATTACATTAAATCCCTCAGAAAATATTTACCCTCCAATAAAGATGCTGAGCTGAAACTAAAAAGCTACCTCAGTAAGCTGATGCTATTTTAGATGCTGGCTGCATCTTCAGTCACAGCAAGGCTGGGTTATTTATTATCAAAAATATTTGATGCATCAGCACACATGTGCATGCCCAAGTATTTTCACAGATCATATATACATGTAATCTTGTACTAGGCTCTCATTTCTATCACTTCAAATGTAGCATGTAAATTATTTACAGGTGATCAGTTTCAACCAGTAACAGCTCAGAAGAAGAACTCCACTGGTTTTGGCTGGGACAGAATTCATTGTCTTCATAGTATGTGCTACAGTACTGTTTTGGATTTGTGACAAAAACATTGTTGATGACACAGGGCTGTGTTAGCTATGGCTGAGCAGTGCTTACACAGCTGCCTACCAGGGCTAACAACCAACACCAAGCTAAACACAGTTTTAGCTTCTTATAGCTAGGGGATTCTATGCAATTAATATTTTTTATCTTCTTTTTTGTAATAACAACAGTCTGTATTATCAACAACAGTTACATGCTCTTCAAACTGCACTACTGCATTAAGAACACCTGACTGCAAGATCTGATTCAAAGAGGAGAAAAGAAACAAAAATGCTTTCTCATAAGTAATACACTCAATTAAATAAGTATCCTATACTAGTACATCTCTTCCATATTTCAGAGTGTTGATAAGATTTTGTGCTATACATCTCCCCAGGAACAAGACTGAAAGCAAGTCAGCATCAGAAACAGAAACTGCATTTTCCATCTCTGCTTTTCCTCCCTTTTTCGCATTTATCTTGTATCATCTTCAAGGAGTAAGATAAAACAAATGGCAGGAGGAGGCTTTAATGTGCTGCTTCTCTAAAAACTACCATCATTTATATCTTGCAAAAAGGACAAGCAAAAATTCCCCTGTAAGTCTTACTATCTTCCTCCTCTCTCCACAAGATTAAAAAAACAGTCCATTTTTTAGAATATTTCTCTTTTCAATAGTTTAAGTGTTTTCAATATTCTGTTGAAAACAAGACACAAAAACTATGGTTGCTGCCATGGGATCAAGACAACTGAAGTCTCCGAACTACTCAACCAAAAGACTTAACCATTTAAGCCTGTGTGATGATACTTCCACTCGCCTTCCTGTTTCCGCTTAGAGGTTCATTAAAATTAGGCTACCACCACTAGTAGCCTAATTTAGCCATCAAAGAACCAATAAACCAGTAACACTGGGGCAGGGGGAGGACAGAACATATTGAAGCTGCAGAAGCACAGAACAAACTCCGGCTTCCTTGATCAGCTCTCACTGTGACAAATACACACAGTTCTCTCTTCCTAGACCAGAAGAAAAACTGCATTAAAAATGTCTTTCCAAAGTAGAGGTGAAAAGATTTACTTTGCTAAAAAGCTCTTACAGCTTGCATCCACACTGAAACCAGCTGCTCTAGTTCCATTTTAGCCTGTTTAGACAGCTCCAAAATGTGTTCTCTGTGCTCATGACTGGTATAGGCTGAGTCTGTGAAGTCCTCCGTATGTTCCAGGATAACTTCCAACATTGTTGAAAGGTTCTCTTTTGAGAGGAAATAAAGATTGTCACGAAGACCCTCCACCTTGTTCTGAAAAAGAAACATTTCAGTTCCTTGAGAATTTATGTGGTTATACAGGTGTAATGCAAATACAGAAACCAGAAGCACCATTTTACATTTTATTTTTCTCCTCAGTTCTTTTTTTTATTATTCACTTATTTTCAAAGTAATCCAACAATTTGTATCCAGACACACAGTTTAGGCTTCAGGATTTTTGTTTTTAAATGTAATAATACCATCAGCAAATTACTGGCGACTCATCAGAAGTAGCAGCAAATACATTATTGTTCTCCAGCTTTCATCAAAATTTATAAACTACATTAAGTTTCAGAAATTCATGGTGTCTTCAGATTTTGGTTGCTTTTTACAAGTTTTCCTACATCTATTTTAAATATTTTTCTTAAAATTTACATGGAGCTAATTGAATACTTTCAGGCACTTAGCAAAAATTTCAACCAAATTCTAAAGAGGGGAGGAGATAAATAAATAAACACTATTTAAAATAAACCCAACATCACAAAACAAAACCAAACTCCAAAGAAATGAGACGTGGTTGTTCATTAAGTGTTCTTAACAGAGTATGAAATTTAGAAGAACCCTTATCAGGAAAAATAGACTGAGCTACAAGATACCATTTCAATTTGTAACATTTCCTTTGAATGACTGTTTGCTCTTTTAAATATTTGGATGAATATTTTTGTGTGCAGTGTTAAAAATACTGCCAATTATGAAACAAGAATTCTTCAACCACAACTATTTTAATGAGGTAGTGCTTAGTATCCTGATGTTCAAGGCATCACCTCAACAAAACATTGGTGGTCTGAATGCACTCTTATCCAGGAGGAGATGGCAAGAATCAGAAGGTGTATTTTGGCAATGATAACAAAATTATAATCACCTCTTAGTCTCACATCTTAGGATAGTTATTTTAGTTACACTGCTGAAAAGATGCCACTCCACCACTTGGAAGTTAAAATTCTAGTTTTGAGGTAACTTATTAGGTTGTAAAAAACAATACTATTTCTAGTCTTACCTTGAATTCTTTGATGCCAGAATATATGCTGATGGGGGCCATTTCATTTTCTCCATTTGGTCTAGAGTCAGTTACAATTTCTATTACCTGTTCCAAAGCTAATCTCATGCGATGAAAAACTCCATCTTTGTTTATACGAGCAGATTCACAGTCTGGATGCCTCAGACAAGTCTTTTTAAAAAAAGCAAAGTAAGTATTATGAAGAAGTACACATGCAGTACAGCAAAATGAATGCTTCCTGCTAAGTCAAGTCTAAAAAATGTGTTAGAATACAATAAATTCTTTTTGTTAAACTGCTATTGTGTTAAGTAGAACTCATAGTGTTGCTCAAAATACAAAATTTTTCCTCTACTTATTCTTTACTTTTACATCCTTTAGCATGAAGTTGAAAGGCTGAGAAGGAAGAGTCAGCTATCCTGCCAGATGCCATACTTTGTGATTTATCCAAACTGTGTAAGAGCATGCATACTCACTCACCTTTGAAGCAGTCAGGAGCATCATGGTGCATTTCTCAAGAACAGCCCTAGATGCTGCCATTCTAGCCTTTTTCTTCTCATCCTTCAAATCCTAAACATCAAAAGAAAAAAAAGGCATGAATATTAGACAGAATCTAAAAATGTTAACGGCTTGTGAGACTGGAAAAAGGAAACTCTCTTGCAGATGGATGGGTTGTGAGAAAGCTTTTTTATGTCAGACAACTGCTATTTTCAGCTAACTCATGATCTAGAACTCGATTTTCAGACAGATTTTAATTTATGCATTTATTCTTGGCTCTATTCAATTCAGATTTCAAAGAAGGAAGATCTCAGAGATACAGTGTTATGTAAACTGTCACTAATTTTGCTATCTTTATCATAAAGCATTATTCATAAGACAGGAAAATGAGAGGAAAAAACACCTGACTAAAAAAACATTGTCTTAAAAGGGGAGAAGGGCAAGGCAGAGAACATCAGTTTTTCATTGTACTGTAGCAAGGGAAATGCAAAATAAGTCTTTCGTCTACTTGAGTGTTATATTTAACACACACCTGTAATAAAGAAAGTTTTAACTGGCTAAAATAGCAATTCGTCTGTAGAAAGGCACTGAGTACAGGAACTTTTCAAGAACTCTCCAGGGAGAGGGATATACCTGCAAAACTGACTATATGCCCAGAAAAGTTCATCAAAAGGGCAAAATTTAGAGTCCAAATTGGGCTGGGTTTGGGAGGGAATGAAGAGGGTAAGACACGAATCCTTCAACATGTGAAAAGGTCTAACAAGAGGAAGAACTTACAAAGCTATAACTAAGATCTTCTCAATGCTAGCAGAGATAGCTGAGAGCTATTTGAGTGTTAAACAGGCAACTGTATGAGACCAGCTGAAAAGGGAACAGGATGGAAATAATCCTAATTTACTATAGGTTAGGAAAAACACATAGATAAATCACAGCAGCAGTCTTTTAACATTTGTATAAAAACCAGGCAGCTCATTTCTGAAATTCTGACGTTACTTTCTGATATATCTGACCACACCCAAGAATTTTCCAGCATGCTTATAATTATACTAAGGAAAAAACACTTTGAGGGATGTTTCCTCCCAATAAAACTAACAATGCCCCATAGCAGCCTTCAGACTGTAAAGTATGCATATCAAGAAAATCCTGACAACTTAAAAAGTACTATTGAAACACTCTTTCCCAAAGAGTCAAGAAGGCAAGGAGGAGAGAGCCAAAGGCTAGTTAACACTGAAAAACAAAATACCACTTACTAGTAATACACCTTTCTCTTTTCAAGGAAGAACTGCTATGAATATTTAAGGGAAAAATTTTTTTAGAAGTAGTTATTTCCTTCAATTATACATAGCTTTTCCAGAACTGATTTCCTGATACTGAGCACATACTTAGCAAACTCAAAACACACCAAAGGTAAAAGGAGCTAGTTTTGTATTTTGAGCAAAGTTGTCCAATGTCTTATCTGAAGGATGCTCCACCAGATCACAAAAAACTACTTCTATATGCATGAGGTCAGCCAATTGTTCATACAAATTGAATTTTGCTGGATATTAGGGACTCTGTATATCTATATCAGACCCTGGTTAATTTCTGAGTGGAGGATTTGATTGCCAAGGGGAAGCAACTGGAGCTCAGAGCAGAAGCCTTCAAGCCTCAGCAAACCTTTTATTTACTTGGAAGTAGCACCTAAAAGGCTTTGAAGAGTAGCTGCATGTGAGAAGTAAAAAACCATTACCCCAACATAAGAAGGTTTTGACCTAAACCTAGAAAAATATTCCAGAATAATAATTAAAAAATACAAGCAAATGCTTTACTAGGATCTAAAGAATTCACGTTTGGAGTTTTCTAAAATAATTATTCTGCTTTTGAATCCCTTCACTACATGCAAACATCAAATGCTTCTGTCAAGAAATTCTCTACCAGAGTAATAAGGCAAAAATGTTAGAGCCAAAAGACAGTGATTGAAGCCAAGGACATGTCAAATAACATGCACCCAGGCTTCTGAAAGATACACAGATCAAACAACGCAGTAGTATTTCTCAGGCTGAGCTTTAAAATCAAAAGATGTCTTTGGGTGGAGCAAGGAGAAGTTAGGTTTCAGAGATAGGACACCAGCAATCATTTTGTTTTGCAATAGTTAACCATCCCAGCAGAACCCAAATCTTACACTGAATCAGATGAAAATGATACCTTACATCTCTCTAAGCTTTTCATTAATACTTACGTTTTGCCGATCTCCAGTTAAATGGGCAAACTCTACCATTTCATTTCCAAACTGACTGAATATTTGTACAAACTCCTGGAAACTACTGACTTTTTCTAGTTGTTCCATTGTTGCAAGAACCTGTAAGAGAAAGGAAAATACTGTAGATTATCAAGACACTAAGCAGAAAATATTATTATTAAACTAGGAATATTATTTGCAGACACTTCTAAATCGTTTTTATTTTGTCACTATTTAAGCATTAAGAACTCAACAGCTGGAAATCAGGTCTAAATTAATAATCACACTTCATTCAAAATGAGTCATTTGTTATCAACCCTCAAAAAACATTTTCCTCACTCATCGTGATATCAAGAATAACAGTATTATAGGATTCAGTTTCCAAATTTAGGAAAACTCTTACCATCATATTAAATTTAAGAACATAAGTACTTGAAATTAAACTACAGATTATATCCCTATGTTGTAACTTTTAGCTTCAAAGTTTAATTTCAGATAGATAACCTTCCAGGCCTAAAATCGCAGTTGTACTATCAGACAGGTGTACTAATGATTTTTATTATCTCTATATAAACCAAAGAACTAAATGAACCCAAGCTGTACCAAGCTCTTACTTAAGATACATAAAAGCCTTTTTAAACTTTTAAAAGCATTTTTAAAACACTCAGCAAAAATTATCATATAGCTTATAAATTACTGAAGCTATCCTCCTGAATTCACTACGATATGGTTTACAACAAAGATTAACATTAGGGTTTTTCAGGTTAGAGGAATAGTTGCTAATCCCGAAGTGATCTTTCAAATCCACTAAATGTCTTCAGAAGGAAAGACAGTCAAAGCAGTTCTTTATTGTGACTGGAAATAAGATACCACACGAAAATCTGACAAACTGTACTTGAAAGGGAGAAATGCCAACTTATTTTTCCTTTCCATTTGCCAAAAGTATCTTCCCACAAACTGAAAAAAACACTCTACAAACCTGATTATGGCAAACTATCCCCTCTCCGCAACCCAGGTGGACTCTCCCAGAAGCACCTAGCTTTTTGGAACAGTGCAGCTCCTCAATCTCATAGTTCTAATCTACGTAAGCAAATGTTCCACTAAATCCTGTGAGCACAGCGGAACTGACCCCTTTATCATGCAATATTAGACTGCAGGATCTGTCTGAGCATCTTATGCAGGCTGCAGAAACAGGAACTCTTGTGGTTCAGGTCTTGATGCACGAGCGAGGCTGGATTAAAAAGGGCTTGAAAAGAAGCTGCACAAATACAAGGATGTGAAAAACAGCAGGAGGGTGGAAGCAGCAGAGAACCACAAGACTAAGAAAGCGAGGACGTAGGAAAGTGAATGTGGAGAAAGGAGAAAACGTACCAGCTAAAGTCCAACTTTCCCTTCTAAGAATGAATTAAAAATTAATAGTGATCATGCTCAATCATTCTTGGTTTAAGCAAGTTTAGAACTTCCTGAGTATGGTCTTGGCTGCAAGTAACTTTGTTAGTTACCCTTGAGCAAATGTTTCTGTCATGACAGATCTCTTGTCAAATAACAATTTCAGTGAAAGCACACACATTTCCATTACAGCTAACAATTCTAGACATTCCAGGCAGAGCTGACATTCCAGGAAACTACATACAGGGAGAAACCGCACAGACAGCTCTAAATTTGTCTAAAGCTTATTCAAGAAGCTGCTAAAATGCAAAATACCTGTGATGTCTTCATAAATTTTTATTCATTAAAATTTTTAATTTTAAACTTTCTTCAACATAAAACACATCGATAGTAATTAAAATACACATTTTAAAATACTTGGTTAAAAACACGTATCAAAAATGGCTTTAAGCTCCTATAAAATCTAAATTAGAACCCAGTATTACACAGCTACTGCTGCACTATGAATGTTGCCTTTCAGACAGCAGTCGTAGGCTGACATCACTTGAGGGCACATCCATATTTCGATCCAATCTGCATCGTGTGGCAACACCCCCACGGAGCTGTCGCTTTCCTGCTCATTGTTCAGGCAGCTCTAACCTGACGGGCGACAGTAAGCGAAGCAAGACGTTAAGCTCACTGATGCAGTGACTAAGTCTGATGGACAGTAAAACAAATTTTGTAGGATAGGAAAGATGCGGGCAGGGACTTATGAAATGCACACAATCTAAGAACACAGGGATGGGATGAGGATGCAGAAGCAGGAACAGGATCATCAACCAGAGGCTGAGTTCTGGAGCAGATCACCATTCCAGAAGATCTCAATCACTTCATCAGTCTATGAGATTGGATGTCCAATCACTACACTGTTCTTCTGTCCTTTGCCCCTGGTTGACTTAACTACTCTTGAGGAAGAGAAGATACTTCATATAAGGAAGATGATGATGACAATGAAAATTAAGGCACACAGAAAGAGGCAGCAAGCAAACTGGCACTAGAAATTTAACACTGGGCATTCAGTCTCTAAGATGAAAACGCAGCTGGTATGTTCTAGAGCAGTGACCCACTCTCAAGAGCCAGCATCTGCTCCAGCTGGCACTACCGATAATCCTGCTCCTGCCTTTCATTTTAAGATGAGACTTCATTTTAAATACCTTCAAACCTGCAAGTATGCTTACTATATTCATATCCCCGTATATATGACAGTAGTTTCATATATATTTAAGACTACCAAAATCCATGCCATGCTGCTGACAGGATATATCCCTCCTTATCCCTTAGCCTAAATTTTTGTTAACACCAGCCACTAGGTGGAAAGTCAGATTAATTCACATCACTGCATGGCTGCAGACAAGGGCAGGAGAAAAGCTCAGGAAAGGCAGTAAAAACTATTAAATCCACCATTCCTGTCTCCAGTGCAATACCAAAGCTGCAAGGAATTTCAGCAAATGAATATTTATAAAACTGCTGGCACCTTCCCACCTTCACCAACCACTGGGAGAATTAGGGAGCACTGAGAATTAGGGGGCACTCAGCAAATGAGTGCTGCTAAGTCTAAAGCCAGACTGATGCAGGTATTGCTGGAGTTTTTGAATCCTTGACTGGGCTAAGTATCTTGGATCTATAAGCTCCAGAATACGGACCAGCATGCCAGGAAAGCAAACTGGGACAAAGAAAGAGAGACAATATGAGGAGTCAAAAGAGGAAAGAGGGGCTCTGCTCTGGATTATGAGTTGAAAATTAATGGAAAAACCCTACCAGGCTCTCATTTTTCAAACATGAGGTTTTTCTATTTTTGTTTTAGCACATCATGGGAGAAAAAAAAAAAAAGAAAGAATATCCTACAGTCAAGACAGTGCAGTACATGAAATAGATTACATTTGAGGTTAAATGGGTCTTTATACATTATTTAAATCAACTAAGTAGTTTCAAGACATATGTTAAACTGCACAAAAAACTTTTAGTCTGTAAGCCTCACTTAACTAGCACAGGCTTTTATCAGCACCCCTCACAGCTTTTTGCCTTAGACACATTCATAATGTTCTCCTTGTCTTGATCCTGACAGAACAAACATCCTGTTCTTAGCAAGTAGAAGCTTTTATGGGCCATTTTACTGACAGAAACACTTTCTACCTCACAGCAAACTTAAATAAGTGGTAACAGAGCCTCTCCTCTTGCATACTAAGTCAACAGAACAATACAGGTTACATAAAATGTAGAAAGTCACTGAAAATTATTATTTTATTCCTCCTGACTTACAGGTATCCCCTTTCAGATATCTGGTAGGTGAACATGTGTAAGATATTCATTTTTTCCCCTCTTTATTTTGCACTTTCCCTAGAGATACAATGAAAATACCACTTCATTTAGCATTACTCTTTCACATTGACTCCAGGTATCAGTTAAACAAAACAAAAAAAAAGAAGCTACAAATACCTTATTTCTGGAAGTTATAATTTGCTTAATAACAATTCTGTCTGCTAACACCAGCACCTTTGTGACAGAAGAAAGCAACAGCCTTGCAGCTTTTACCACACCCGTTTTGTCTGTAAAGATTGTTATGTGGCTATCAGATTCTGGATGATCCAAGTTTGCCACATCCGTAAGCTGTGCGATTGTTTCACCTAGAGGGAAAAAAAATAAATAATTAACATTTCATACTTACAAAAAAAGATACTGGGCCATTAAGCATTTTTAACTTTTACCTTTGAGGGATAAACCAACAATTTCACAACTACCTAGAACACTTATTTCATTTCACTTCCTTCTATTGTCTGTTGGTGGCACCCTCTCCATATTTAAATCTGGACTATTATTCAGTATTGCCTCATTCTTCCATCTGTAACATACACTAGTTTTCTTACAGTAAACCTCAACTAAAGTAATTCACCTAAGCAGACAAGACACTGACTTCAGAAGCCTGATAAAGCCAGAGGTCCATATGAAGAACCTGAGGGTGCGTTGTTACTCTGGAAATACCACACACAAACATTAGAGAACAAAGATGGTCTGACAGTCCTTCAAACCACAGAGCTCCATGCTTCATAGTGTTTATGTATGCATTTTTCTCCTCCGGCAACTGCAATTGCTTGAGTTTCTAAATTGCCTGAATAGGTCTTGCATTACAGCAAGGAACTTGTAGTACTTTTGTCAGGACCAGGCCAGGTCACAAAAGCAATGGTACAAATAATCAGAGGGTCTTTCCATTACAAACATGCAAATGCGATAAGCAGAGTACAATCTGAAACAGCGAGTTCCAGAGCTGAAGGGCCAGAAGAAGCAAGAAGAATCATAAAAGTATGGCTATTATCCAAACCATGAGGGCAGCCAGATACACTAACAGTGAAGTTGGAACACAAGTCTCCAGTCAGGCAAGAAGATAATTTAACAGCAAAACAGATTGGCCATTGCCTCCTCCACAGTCAAATTCATTCCATTTCAGGCCAATCTAGATGGAACTGTTCAACTTTATCAGCAGATTAACCTCATTCTCTTCATTTGACCTCAAAAAATATGTGACAACATAAAATCCTGTAAAACCACAGAGAGAACAATTGAAATAGATGTGAAGCGCTTTTGGTAACCAAGGAAGGATGCACAACATCATTACCTGATTTCTTATGCTGTGGGATTCACCTTCTTGAAGATGAATTATCAAGCCATAGGTAAAACATCTAATCATACAAAGAGTAATCAGAGAACCTAGAAAGAGCTGCAACATCTGCCTGCCAAAAGCTCCAGACAGCCCTAGAAACTTGAGACTTTCAACAACAGAACAAAGGCCTCCTTCCCTTCTCTACAGTCTACAACTGCAGGAACAGGGATGGTGTCCTGGGAGTAAGCTATGAGGAGCAAGACCTGGTAGGGAAAAAATACTGAGCTATGGAATATTTAAGCCAGCTGGGCATACACAAGACCATGAGGCACATCTGAGAGTATCAAAAAAGCAATTCAGTGTCACTGTAATTCTGTAATTTCAGAAGTTCATGCCTGAAAGATTGTGACAATTGGGACAGAGTTGCAATGATAGAAAGGCAACAGTCACGCACATCTTGAAGGGTAATAAGCAAAAAAAACAACAGGTAATTATGGGGTGGTCTGCCTCCCATCAGTCTCGAGAAATATTATTAAAATCGTCTTGGAAGCCATTATCACATGAAATAGAAAAAGGCAATTGGGAAGAGCCAGCACAGTCCTGCAAGGGCGAATAGTCCCTTATCAACCTGAATGTCTTCCATGATGAGATGACAGAGTCTCTTGAAAAGGAAGTAATGGACGCTGTGTATGTCAACTTCAGCAAGGTCTCCAACATGATCTCCCACAGTGCCCTTATAATTAAAACATAAGATATGGACTGGATAAGTGAACAATAAGGTAGGCAGAAAATGGACCTGATTTGGGGTTGGGGATGGTGATAAGTGGTACAAAGTCCAACAAGCAGTCAGTTACCAGTGGCGTCCCTCAGGGACTGATACAAGGCATGAAAACTATTCCCTAGATGATGGGCCAGAAAGTGTGTGAACACCACCAAACTCGGGGAGTGTCTGATACGCTGGAGGACAGAGCTGCTAGACAGAGGGACAGGCTGGAAGCATCATCTGTCAGGAAATGCGTGAGGTCCAACAAAGGCAGTAATACCAAGTTCTGCATTTACGCCAGGGTAACACCAGACAACAGTACAGGCTGGGATCAGTGCCTTCAGAGAACCTTTGCAGGGAAAGACACAATGGTCCCAATGAACAGAGAGTTGAACAGGAGTCAGCAATGCTGGCCAGCTGCATGCTGGATTGTTAGCAGAAGCATAACCAGCAGGCTGCAGAAACAGGTCTTCCCTTCTGGTTGGTGCTTGTGAGACAGCATCTGCAGTACCATGTCCAGTTGGGGACCCCTCAGTACAAGGGAAAACCCTGACATAGTAGAGGACATGACATAAGGGAGAGGCTGAAGGAAGCGGGTTTGTTCCATCTCAAGAACAAAAGGCCAATGGTAGAGTTTACTGTGGTCTACGCCTACCTACTTAGGCAGGTATAGAGAAGGCAGAGACAGACTGATCCCAGAGGTGCATGGTGATAGGACAAGAAGCAATGGACAAGAGAAAAGAAAATACTTTTGCCACTGTAAGGGTAGTCAAACATTGTAAGAGGTGTACAAGAAGTTGTACAGTCTCCATTCTTTGAGTTAAATGTCTCTTCCAGCCTAAGTTATTCTGTGATTCTGTTTATCCATTTCAGATTGTTAGTCTTCAACCTTCTTAATTTAGTCCTTCTCTGTAACAAAAGACAAGGCAAAAATAGGAGAGCGCTATGTATTGCTTCCAGTTTACTCTTCCTTTAGGGCTCTGTGGTGAACTGACAAAGAACACTGAAAATGTTATGACACTAAGTCATTCTTGACATGTGTTTTCTCTTTTAAATTAACCAGTCTTTCCCAGTTTTGGAGAAAAAAAATCACAGATGGGCATCTAAAACTGTGCTGTTTGAGTTACATTCCACTACTATACTGTCACTGTAAACACTGACACAGTGCAAGACTAATGTTAGGCAAAATGCGCTACATGACCCTCCGCAGTGTTTTATGATTCTATTTTGAGTCAATCAAATTACAAGGTTTATTACAAGAAAATAGTCATAACAAGTCTGAAACACTTCATATCACTGATTATACCCTTCACAAGAGACAGATACAACATCTGTCATCCTTTAAAGCCTCTGCTGGATATGCAATTGATTTAAAGACTCCCTACTTTTCATAGCAACTGAGACACCTAATGTTCTAAATCCTTCGGTGTTGAAATCTATCTTACATACCTAACAAACTGCCCCTTTATTTTCTGAGGCACCATCTAATTTATTGTCTAAAAGAAAGTATGAACAGCTCTACAATATCCTCTGTTGTAAACAGTAAGGGCTTTCTGCTGACCATGCCATCAGAACATGGGATTCTTTTATACAATTCAATATTCTTGGCTATAATTGACCAGGATATTTTTTGGCTTGCTTGGGAACAGTGAAGTTGTTCAAAATGGCACTTGAGCAACTGTGTTCGGAGACAGACAGAGAATTCAGAGCACAGTTATCCATAAGAACTTCTCTGCACAAAGGACTCTCTTATCTTGTCCAACACTTAAACAGTCCACAGAGATAATACTGGCACACCAAAAATCCCATCAAACAAAAACCCAGCAGCAAGCATGTTTGATAAACTGAATTTTACACATAAGTCTTCAGTTAGGTCTCAAATAAGTAGCTCAAAGCAAGAAAAACTGACCCATGCCCAGATAAATGTGAGGCTTGGCAGGAAAGTAAACAGTCTGTATCTTCACTCCTCTAGATTGAGGCATATTACTGCTAACAGGAGATAAAACTTACAATGTAAAAAAGTATAACCAGTTGGTGAGAGAAAAAACTGCAGACTATTTTTAGATTCTGAGCTCCTCCTGGGTACACTGATAAGGAGAAAAAGTACTTGGCCACGTGTACTGGGTTTGCGTGGCAAGGTTTTGGTAGTGGGTGGGCTAGAGATGACTTCTGTGAGAAGTTGCCACAAGCTTCTCCTGTGTCCAACAGAGCCAATGCCTGCCAGCTCCAAGGTGGATCCACTGCTGGCTAAGGCCAACCCCATCAGTGAGAGTGGAAGCACCTCTGAATAACATATTTTAGAAGAGGGAAAAACTGCTGTGCAACAACAGCAGCAGAGAGGGAAGTGAGAATATGTGACAGCAACAACTCTGCAGACACCAAGGTCAGTGAAGAAGTAGAGGGAGGAGGTGCTCCAGGCACAGAGCAGAGATTCCCCTGCAGCCTGTGGAGGTCCATGGTGGAGCAGACACGCACCTGCAGCCTGAGGAGGACACCAGGCTGGAGCAGGCAGATGCACATAAAAGAGGCTGCAACCCTGTGGGAATCCCACGCTGGAGCAGGCTCCTGGCAGGACCTGTGGCCCCATGGAGACAAAAGCCCAAGCTGGAACAGGTTTGTTGGTAGGAACTGTGACCCTATGAGAGAAACCCATGCTGAAGCAGTCTGTTCTTGAAGGACTGCACCTGGTGGGAAGGACTAACTTTGGAGAAGTTTGTGGAGGTCTGTCTCCTATGTAAGGGACCCCACAATGGAGCAGGGCAAGAGTGTGAGGAGTCCTCTGGAGGAGAAAGGATCAGAGATGTGATCAACTGACCATGACCCCCACTCTCCCTCCCTCAGTGCCACTGAAAGGGAGGAGACAGAGAAAATCTGAAGCTGAACCCAGGAAGAAGGGAGGGGTGGGGGGAAGGTATTTTAAGATTTGGGTTTATTTCTCATTACTCTGATTTGACTGATAGTAAATTAAACTAATTTCCCCAAGTCGAGTTGGGTTTTGCCCATGACGGTAACTGCTGAGAGATCTCCCTGTCCTTATCTTGACCCACGAGCCTTTTGTTATATTTCCTCTCCCCTGTCCAGCTGAGGAGGGGAGTGATAGAGAGGCTTTGGTGTGCACCTGCTGTCCAGCCAGGGTCAACCCACCACACCACAGCATAACTGGGAAGTGAAGAAATAAAGAGATCTAGACCACACTGCTCTTCCAGCAGCTGAGATTATCGATTTAAACTTTGGCATTTTACTTGGATCTCTAAAGAAAAAACACATGCTTTGTGTAACAAATGGAATGTTTTCAAGTTAGGACATTTCTGTTTGCTGCCAAGTTTACTGGAGCGACCACGAATTTTTGGTCTGAAGTTTACCTAGAGTAGTCCTTCAAATTACAAAAGCAATCATTCATCACAAGCATGTCTCTAGACACTGCAACGCATCGCTGAGGGATTTTTCAGAGGATTTCTTACAGTACCATGCCCAATTTCTAAGCTTTTTTTTTAAAAAAACAAACCAAAACAAAACAAAAAAATCACAAAAATGGGATGACCTGCTTCCCTAAAGTTTGAGGCCATCACAGTGATTCAGCAAGGAATATACTGGCTAGGACACCAAAAGGCAAGTTTCTCAGGCTTCTGAGATTATTTAAAAGATAAACACCACACAATTACCCCACAAGTCCACTGTTTATCTTAAAGATAAGCTGTCAAGATAAATAATAAACTTAATTATTAAGGCCTGATATACTTTAAACTTATTAGGCTTAATAAGGGCTAATAAACTTTAACAATAAAGTTAAGATAAATAATAAAGTTCTTAAATTATTCCTGACAATAAAAATAGTGTGCCAAAAATGGCACAAGCACAACAGGTTACAAATTTCATGAGTAACTACATACCTGCTCTCCTTGCCTCTATGCAGGCAACACTCATTTCCTCTTTCAATTCATGATTTTCGTTGGCTATAGCTTCACCCACTGTAACAAATCTTCCAACTGCCAGGTTAACCGCTTGGCCTACTCGCTGAATTGCTTGCAGAGTCTTGTCTGAACGCTTTGGTTTATCCTTATGATTAATAAGAGTAGTTATCTGTGAACAAGAAGAGTTAATTATTAGAACTGCATGCAAGAATATAATTTAACTCCAGTATTAAAGGCAAGTTTTGAACTGAACTCAGTAACGGATTTTTAGCATAGTTGTCTAATAAAATTTAGTGTTGAGTCATGAGGTATCATTTAACTTCTCAGAGAATGAAAAAAATAATTTGGAATATAACGAAGTCTACTCCTCTGCTGTGATCCCAGCTTACCTTGCACCTGAAATGAATTGAGGGATTTCCCCCGCCTCACATTTGCAGTATTAAAATAAGCTGCCCTAGGTCTCTCAACAGGCTTCTACACTACAGACACAGTAAAAGCTGAGGAGTCCAATGGTAGACGTATGAGTATCATTTTGGGTTTGCCAGCATTGGGAATCTTACCAGATTTTTGTGCTGCCAGGTAACTAAACATGCTAATCAATTATGATTTGGGAGCTTTGGCTCCTTTTACTGAAATAGGCCTTTCTGAATTGTTTTATCCACTTGCTTAAGGCAGGCTTTAAGAACAAGTAGTAGCACAGTCTCTACACGAAAAGAATCAAAAAGAATTTTTCATTTATAAATAAACTGAAGTATTCCAGCCATTCCCCCATTAAAATATCCACTGTACTTATAACTTAAACATCCTCAATTACTTGTGTTTTCTAGCATTTAGAACAAGTTTGCCACTTAGATGCAAGCTATCACTAAAACAGTTTGAGGGAACATTCTCATTCTGAACTCCGCATCCTGTATCAGCTTCTCTAAACCTGTACTACATTGCACTATACATTTCGTCTTGGGTTACACCAACCAGAGATCACCTTCTGTTTCAAGCAGGCTGCAGAAGACTGAAGATTTGCCTGCAACACCAAACACAAGGAAACAAAGAAATCCCTCTCCCACCCAAAGAGAAAGGTAATGCAGAAGTAACTTCTTGACCAGGGCAAAAAAAACCCAAACATGAGAAGAGCATGCAATCCTACCACTCAGAATTAGCTAACTACAAACTGCATTACAAACGGTACATGAGCTTAACACTTTTGGTATGACCACCATTTTTAGTGAGATGCAGGATGGAAGTTGAATTTGGTAGTTTTGACCATCCTACATCAGCATAAAAAACATTGCCATTGCCAAAGACAGTCCTGCCTGTCATTGCATCCCTCTCTCATTTTAGCAATCTGATGGGGGTTAAACTTGAGTTGTAGAGAAGGTGGTGTTTGTTAGTTTCGTTTTCCTCATAATCAGTTTGCCCGGTCCAGTTCACTGTACAGCTGTGTGAATACTTTTGGTGGCAAAAGAGAAATGGGATAGACTGGAGAGCAAAGGATGGGCAGAAGTGCTGCTTTCAGCAGGAGCATGGTTTAAAATGGCCAGAGAACTTCACTGTAAACCCCATCCCCAGCGGCTCAAAGATGTCTGCTGAGAGAATCTCAGACCTACATGAACCCCTGAAGTGTTTGAACACCTCAGCTGCATCATCTTAATCACAGACATTTTTGTCCATTCCTCAAACATAAATTAACATTCATTCATATTTTTCTCCTACCAGTCAAGCCTCCAGTAGGACAAGTGCATAGAGGCTGTACCTGTAATGCTCACACCAGATCCAAGCATGGAGCAGGAAGCAGTGTAGTAGAAGTGTACAACTGCTTTGTAATTTGATCAGTGCCCAAGGCTCACCCCTTCAGATATCACTGAGTCACATTTCTGGGGGAAAAAAATAAATAGTGGTGTTTTTTAACACCTTACTGGGGCTGGCTTTGAATGTGACGAGCTGGCTTAGTCAAGTTTGCAGTATTAAGCTGTCCACAACAAAAAATGTCAATATTTCATAGAGCATTTTGCACAAAAAAAAAAGCCAGAAAAAGCTAAGAATTATCCCAATAAACAGTGCTGCCCTACCAAAGAACTGCTATGATAAAGGAAGAATATTTTGGTACAAAACATCACTAGAGAAATGCATCATCTGCCTGCTGCCCTCATATGTATGTCCTACTTCTCCAACTTGTACCTAAGCCCCAAGCTCTAAAGGCAGGCCGCTTTCTATAATTTGTACAACAAATCTGTCCATGTAAGAGTCCCCCAGTTCACCAAACTTCAGCCCCAAAAGCCTGTGAGTCTCCGATGCCCATCCAATGAAAATACCATCTTAGGAGGAACATAGAGTCCCATTAAAGAGTAAACTAAGCAAACATCTGTACACCTTCGGGTTCATCCTAGAGATTACCATCACTTCAGCGGAAATTCAGATTAATATCAAATGGCTATTAAAACCAGCTCAATACACAGCTCTCCTGAATCCTTGCATTGTAGATGCTTCAGGTATACCAAACTATCAAACACCTGACAGCAGCTAATCTAACAATCCCTGCTGGTGAATTCTTGACTGGTCATGGGCAGCAAGCCTACAGAAAGCATTAGATCAAACACTGAAAAAAATCAATTTGATAGAAGGTCACAAATTTGTTTCCTCCACTGATTTTTAAGCAAACAGCAGCCTAACGCTATGCAAACAAAGGGCTAATATTACATTCATACCATTATTGACTTCTCAAAAACATAGAGAGTAACATTGGCCTAAGACAAATAGAATACAAGTTGGATGGACATCCTGGCTGCAAGTTTACCTCCCACGGCATTTTATACCAGTAGAAGTTTAAACACGTCCCCTGTAATCCTGACAAAAATGCATGTGCACCTAACACTGCAGAGTGAAAGGAATCCCATGGTCTCTTACAAATCATCAATGGCATTTTAATCCCATATGTTACTGTAGAGGCATGCAAATGATAAAAAAATCACAAAGAAGTCACAGCTTAAATTGCTTTAATAAAGTCTTACAAAACACTTTCAGAAACATTTTCATTTGAGACATGGGTGAAGTTTACAGTTCTACCACTTCTTTAGCACTCTCTTCAGAGAGTATCAGCAGTTTTGCAGAAAAAGACACTCCCTATACCCCCCACATAAGGTGGTGCAAGAATCAGCAGCTGTTTTGGCATGTTCATCACCAGTGTCATCTAATCTTATGACTTCACCAATGTCATCTCAACCTCATGAAGTTCAGCAAGGCCAAATGCAAGGTCCTGCACCTGGATTGAGACAATCACCAGGTAAGTCATGATAAAGAGGGAAGATATGAAATTTATATCAGCTAACAGAAAAAGCATCTTTAGTGAGTTAGACATACACCAAATGTAAAATGCTTAATAAAGTCAAAGGCATGAGGAAAGTTCTTCAGATACAGACAGGCTTCTCACAACCTGCCACCTGCAGAAAACATTGCTGTGCCGACAAGGAGAATGTAGAACTCTGAGAAATATCTTTCTCTTTCCTTCACGAAGTGTTAAGAATGACAAATATACTCAGATACAGCCTTCACTTAAAGTTATGAAAAAGCAGAGGTAATAGCAGCCGCAGTTTCGGATTCTTTTCAAGACTTAATCAAACTTGTAATGAACAATTAGGGTTAAAAACAGAGCAAACAAGATCTTAACTCAGCGAGGTGAGGAATTTCACTTGTATGCTAAGTGACAAACTGAAGGAAACCGTGATACTAATAAGAGGCACAAAGATTATTTAATCGTTCAGACCATGGTATGAAAAATAAAAATTTCTAAGCAGTACGACCGGAGGGGTGTTGGGGAGACGCATATAATACCATTTGCTTCAGGATACAAATTATGCAATAAGCATTAAAAGGCCAATAAGCTAGGCTTCTAAAATAAAAACTAAGCAGGTTTTGCTGCTGACTTTCAAACAATATTTAAAACAAAGACATAAAATTGGACAAGTTAAATGTAGAAAAGCAAAGACCCACAGGAAACCTAACAGAGAATTTTCTCCCCAGTTAGCTACCACCTTCCTCCAAAAATACCCTAAGAGCCTGTCAAAACTGAATTAGTGAAAACTTGAGCATTTAAGGATATTTCAGATTACAAAGAATTGCTTTTTCCCTGCAGCCCACCAAGTTGCAACCAGACAAAAACTATGACTGCTGTTTCTTTAGAGTTTGGGGTTTTGTTTGTTTGTTTGTTTGTTTTTTAAGAAGTAGGAAATTCCTGTGACTCCAAGAACATTATCTAAGCTCTCCTTTAAGCTTAACACCTCCAAATATTTAATCTGTTCTATTTGGACCGCATATCACCCAGTCACTAACATTTATGGTGTTTGGGCAGGAGTTAACAGCTGAAAAGACTACCTGCAAGTCTCTTTGAACAAGAGAAATATGTTACATGATGTTTACTTGAGGATTGACTGATCAGGTCCTCGAAAGGAAACAGCCCTTTTGATGGTATTCATGCTCTACTTAATGTGGGCTCTTCCATGGAATGCGTATCAGAGATTGGAGACAATCAGTTTAAGGAGTGTGCAGTCTCAAGGAATTGTCAGTTACAATTTTTTGTCACTTCTTGTGACCAGACCCACAAAAAAAGCCTTTTCCCAAAGGCTTTACTGAAACGAACACATATAGCCATAATGTATCAAGTTGTACTTCATATTTAAGGAAAGAAGCTCAGTTGTGGCAGTTTTCGAGCATCTGTTTTCAGAGCTTTTTGAGGGCCTTCAGATACTGACATTTAAGTCGTTATATGCATCATGCACAGGAAGCATCATGGCAGCATGCTTAGCTAAAAATATTCTAATGTCTATTTATTATCAGTGTAATTAAGTCTTGCATGACAGAATTAAGTGATACTTAAGAGATTGGGTTTCAGAATGTATTTATAGACAACTATAAATAAAACCAGAGGAAACATAGCTATTTCACAGCCACTCTTACAAACACAAGTTAAAGTGAGAAGCCATGTTGGAAGATAGCCAGGAGGGGAAAGGTAGGGTAAATACCCGCATTTTACATAGGATGATTTAGACTCTCAAGAGCAGTATTTGTTATTGCCTCACACTAATCAATTTTCCTGCTAGAAAAAAACAGTCAAGACGTTTTCTCTATGCAATGAGAATTAGCTATAGTCCTGTAGCATCCTTGGAGTAACAGCTCCTCTTCCATTTTGTGTATTGTCTGCTTTCTAC